ATTCATTATAAATTTTATACAGTTTTTTCAATTACTAAATATTTAGATATATATTTTTTTGCATTGGAAAAAGTTATCCTCCGCTAAAGAAATTTTATTTTAAACAGTTTTTTTTTTATATTTTCACCCGCCAAAAAATGCGTGTGGTCTTCAATGCAGATGGGCAGGCATTCAGCCAATTCACATGCAAAATTTCTGGGAACTTTTTTACGTTTTTCGTTTTTAAATTTCCCATACCATTTGCCCCGCAAATAACCGTAATGTTATTTATGGGCGAATTTCAAACTGGCGGACTTTCTTATCAAATCGAAATCTATAATTCATGCAGTGGTGAAAGAAGAACGTGCCTGTGCCAAAACTTCGCCGGTGGACATTTGAAGGCGGCGGACTCAATTGAAAAAAAGAAGAAGAAATTCAACAATAACAAAAACAGAATGAGACAAATTGATGTCAGTTCATTGATAAATGATGATGTTCGGACCATGGCTGGTGTTGCATTCAATTAATTAATTTGTAATGCAGAAACTGAAACTGTGTCACAATCACACTCACACACACACACGGGCGCAACGACATCTGGCTAAACATTCAGCTAACTAACAACTGGCCTAGCCTAACTAAGCGTAATGTTTTTCCAACGAATCTTCACTTCTGTACATACACACTCACATATCGGTAACATCGATCGTATCTGGACTTTGTACTGTTTTTTTCTATGTGCACGAATTGAAAACTTGGACACCTCCAATGAACGATATTTCAATTTTTCCTCCTGGCCATCGCGATGGCCAGTAGCAAAACAATTTACAACGCCTGCCACAGCGAAAGAAAACTGTCGTTGCTGACACCACAGATCATTTTATTTGATTTGTTGTGAATGCGTGCCACAAATTTATAATAGATGTAGATGCATTGCCTCCCACTCCTTGGTGCTATGAACAGGCCAATTGTGGACTATTCACATTCACGTCAATTGAGAATTATTTTTTTTTCATTTTTTGTTATTACATTTTCCATAATGAAAAAAATAATACAATAATCATGATTTGCTATTATTTTATTGTTTCTGTTATTGTTGTTGTTGTTCTAATAATATTCATTGCTCTCGTTTGAACGCAAAACACGAATAAATTATCACATTTGTGTAAATCAATTTTATTTTATTTTCATTTATTTACTCCAGCCCATTTATTGCAAATTTGTTTAAGAAGAATTTTTTGAATCTATCACACATACATAAATAAAATCCCAATTGTTTTACGGAAAAAAATTTGACCTTTATTATTTTTTCTATAGAAAAAAAAATTGATATCCGTTATTTCCTATAGAGAGAAAATTTAATTGAGTTTTTCTATGGAAAAAATCTACTTCTTTTACTTTTTTTTTGTAGAAAAAATCGATCTCCGTTGTTATTTTCTATAGAAATAATATTTTTTATAGAAAAAGATCATCTCGTTTTTTCTATAGAAAAAAATTCAAACTCTCATTTTTTACATAAAAAATCGACATCTCTTATTATTTTCTATAGAAAAAAAATTCAGCTCCTCTTATTTTTTTCTATGAGAAAAATTGACCCCCTCTTATTTTTTCCTATAAAAAATCGTCCTCAGTTATTTAACCACACTGTGGTACAGAGTATTCTGTCTTTGTGTATATGTTTGTAACAGGCAAAAGGAAACTAGATACACCCATGGTTCCTTTTGAGAACCATGGGTATATCTAGTCGATTATGCATGTCCGTCGATTTATGCATTTCCGTCCGCCAATCACTATTGAAATTCGGTTGAGATATAGATATAGCTCCCATATATATTTTCGTCCGATGTCATGTAAATGGTGGACCAAACTCCCAAAATTAGTCCGATTGAGACAAAATTTTACACAGAGTATTGTATTAGGTCTGATAGATATATGCCAAATTTCAGATTTATATATAGCTCCCATATATAGTTTTGTCCGATTTTTTTGTAAATTGAGCACCAACTGCCAATATTGGTCCGATTGAGACGAAATTTTGCACAGAGTACTGAATTAGGTTCAGATTGATGTATGCGAAGTTTTGTTGAAATCGGTTCAGAGTTAGATATAGATCCCATAATAGTTTCATCCGATTTTATGCAAATGGAGCACCATACTGCCAATATTGGTCCGATTGAGACAAAATTTTACACAGAGTACTGAATTAGGTCCAGATTGATATATGCCAAGTTTTGTTGGAATCGGTTCAGATTTAGATATAACTCTCATGTATTGATTCGGCCGAAGTGTGAAGTGTATCATATAGTCGGCTTCGCCCGACTTTTGAACTTTCCTTACTGGTTTTTTCTATAGAAAAATATTTGACCTCTTTTATTTTTTTCTATAGAAAAAATATTTGATTTTTCTAAAGAAAAAATTCAACCTCTGTTATCTTTTTCTGTAGAAAGCAATTCGAAGTCAGTTATTTTTTTCTATGTAAAAAAATCGACTTCAGTTTTTTTCCTATAGAAAAAAATTCGACCTCAATTATTTTTTTCTATAGAAAAAAATTAATCTCAGCAATTATTTTCTATAGAAATATTCGACATCAGTTATTTTTTCTATTGAAATAAAATCTGACATCATTATTTTGTCTATAGGAATAATCCGACATCAGTTTTCTTCTATAGGAAACTATACGACCTCAGTTATATTTTTCTATATAGAAAATCAACCACTGTTAGCTGAGCTATTCTTTTTTCTCAGTTATCTGTGGTCTATCAAGGAGTGTTTTTGCGACTCTTACGAATCGAAAGTATCGAATGTCATTTCATTTTGCTTTTGTGGTTGTTTTGCAATTCCAGAGAATTCATTAGCCTTGGATGTTGCAGACAGTGTACAATAACAAAAACAACAACAACAACAACAGAATATCATGCCGACATTAGATCATCCTCACAGCTTCATAGCTTCTTTTTGTTTGTTTTGCAATGTTAAAGTCTCGTCGTACACAGACTATCATCATCTCAACCAGCCAGTCAATCAACGCCGCACCATTCCGCCGCATGCCACTGTCGCTGGAAAAGAAAGTTCAAATTCAATCAACGACTGCTTCGTTGCAGATATTGTTATTGTTGTTGTCACACATAGCTTACCAATACCAACCAACCACAACAATAACAATAATATTGAATATTTTATTAAATTGCATTATGACCAAGGGGCTGATTTTACTAAAGAGCATCACTAGACATGGGTATTTAATTTCAATATTTTACGTCACATTGTAAAAGTAGCGATGGGAGAATATCTTCTAAGAACCGCCAATACAGAATGGGTTATATATACATAGAAGAATTTACGTCGGTCTTCTTAAGAGGACCTAATGTAATTTAAATGTTTTTCAAAATAATCCACATTCAAGCCTTTAAGGGAAACCCCCCCCCCCCCCCCCATTCTCGATTTGAATTTTTTAAGATTTTCAATGGGCTGGTAAATCAATACCAATGCTTTTTAAGGTTTGTAACTTTGCACATATATAATTGAAGATTTAAAAAAGAAGAAAAATAATTTACAAAAAATTTTTGTTATTGTTTTGTTGTTGTTTTTTGTAATTAAAGAAAATATTTTTGATGGCGGGCATGATAACTCCTCACTGGAACATCGGAATCCGAAAAAACGGTGTTAAAAAATATGAACTAGGATTATATATTCGCTCTAAAATTAACAAAATGGTACCTTTGAAAAATATTTTTGGAAAATCGCTGATTTTTGACCAAAAACCAAATTAAAAAATAAGGAAGATCTTCACCGATTGGCTTTATCCTAGTTCATACGAGAGCTATACACTCCCAGAGAAACGATGCAAAGTTTGGAACCGATTGGATTATTAGTTTTTGAGTTATCGTGCCCGCCATTCGCAAAAAAATGTTTAGAGAAAAACGCGTTTAAAGTTTGAGAAACCCTTTAGCCGTCACTTGATGCTGACACACTAAATCGGATATATCTTCAACAGTTCTTGAGATCTCCACTTGAAATTTTGTAGAGACATTCTTTAATCAGTGTAGATTCGAATTATATCAACAAAAATTTTGACCCCGAGAATGGGGGGGGTCCCCTTAAACCTTTTTTAAGAAATACATGTCCTGAAAAAATTCACATCATTTCAAAATATATTTAAATCAAATTAAAAAAAATTAAAAAATATATATTAAAAAAAATTATTTTAAAAAATCCAAACCGTATATTGTTAAAAATCAAAGACACGATTTTTTTTTCAATCCACGCCTTGAAAAAAATAATTTTGAAACATCCTTATTTTTAAGTAAATTTTTTAAATCCAAAAATTGAAAAAAAAATATTTTTTAAAAGTAATGTATATTTTTTTAGGAATCCACCTCTTGACGTCGAACCTTGAAAAATAGATTATATTCTGTGACGTTTTCCTATCGGGTTTTTCAAGCCATTCTTTCAAACATATCTTCTATATATACAACTTTTTATTTAGATAAAATATATTATCTAAGCCAATCCAATCCATAAAAATAAATGGAACATTTCTTAACACATTCGTGTTGAATTTCAAAACTCTACGATTACTTAACAGGTTATATTACCCTCGAATTGTTCGTTTATTGTTTTTGTTTTTAATTTATTTTCCCATACCCGATTAACTTTTTATCTAAATGGGTTCGCTGTAATGCCACAACAACAACAACTTGAAGACTTGTATGAAATATGAGACAGTTCTATTGGAAACATAAACAACAACGATAACAACAACAACAACAACAACAGCAAGATCAATGGAAGATGCACCACAAGAAGATCAAGAAATTCTTTACGCTTATCTATTGTCAGACTGGTGGCGGCGGCATGACCCTCGCATCTTTCATTCTTTCTATTTTTCTCTTTTTCATTTTTGTTGTCTTCGACAGCAAACAAACAAAGAATAGTCTTAAACATTGATTTTGTTTTGTTGTTAATTTTCATGTATCTTTTTCTTATTATAATTCTGTTTTGTTTTCTTTCTTTTTTCTCAGTGCCTCATCCCAAACCTGCATCCAATAGTATTAGTAAATCGAATGAAATGGATTTTGAACGAAATTATGCCGTCGAATTGGGTGCACCTCTGTTAATACCGCTCCAAGATGAGGTGATATTGGAAGCCGATACGGATTTTGTATTACGTTGTGAGTCCACAGAGGATATTGTGTGGAAACATCCGCTGGATGCCTTTGCCGACGAAGACACCTACACACCTGACGATCCAAGCCGTCCATTTGGTCGTTCTCTGACACTGTCAACGGTTTCGTATTTATCGGTGGGCAATTATTATTGCATCAAAAAGAGTCATGTCAATTCAACCGATTTATTTACCATTGAGGATGCCACCTTAACCGATTTGGCCAATAACAATTTGGCATCATCGATATATGTTTTTGTAAATGGTAAGCAAATTTAATCAGGAAATTTAGATATTATTCTAAAATCATTATTGTCTTATAATTTACAGATACTGAGCATTTGTTGGCCCCCATGCCATTTCCGGTAGTACATGTGCTACAATTCCAAGATGCCGTTATACCCTGCAAACCCACAATTCCCGATGTTGAGGTGTTGCTAACAATGCCCAATGGAAATGTAAGAGTCATGTTTGGAATATATTTATTATGTCTATGAATGAATGGTTTGGGTCTCTCTGGAATTAACCCATTAAGAAAGAATGAAAGATTATTTTTAATTTACTCCAAAAAAGGAAATAATTTCCTAGGCATTATTGGGTTAAACCAAAGATCTTTCCATTCCTCAGTTATTCTTTCTTTTTAATGAATGTTGCTTTACTAATGCTTTCTGTTACATTTCTAACACCTAACACACACACATTTCCACACACACTCGCTCATAAAGATACAATGAAAATTCGATACAAATATCGTAAATATTTTATTAAAAGTCAAACAATACTCATCTCAAACGGGTTATAAGAAATCTATTGCAAATGAAAATTTAATAAGCAATACACTTTTCGATCTTTCGATTTTTTTTTTATTATTATTAAGTCTATAGATTACAAAAACCCTTACAGACTAAACTAAAAATATTTACAATATTATATTATAATATAAGGCATTTAAATGTATTATCAGAAAGATCGAAAATATTGTATAATTTATTAAATTCAACAAAAAGGCGTCAAAGGGGATCATTATTTGTATAGTTAGCAGAAAAATACTTTATTTGTAGTAGCTGATAGTTTCGAGATGGCCTCAAAGGTACATTTATAAGAATTCTATTCAAAATAAACTCGGAAGTTATTTTACCTTGAATGACATTTAATATAAACGTAACATTTTTGCAATACTTTATAAGCCTTAATACTTTATAATACTTTATAAGCCTTACAAGTCACAAGGGAGATATGTTCTCTGAAATCCAAACGATTATCCAGATGAATTCCTAATTCAGTAATAGAATCAACATATTAAACTTTCCGATCATGTAAATAAGAAATAGTTTCTTTTATTCCTTTTTATCCTAAATAATGGCATATGTTTGCATTTCAATATATTTAGTTGTAATAAATTTGTATCGCACCATTTACTGAAACTATTAAGGCAGATTGTAATATATCTTGGTTTGTAATATTGTTAACAGAGTAGAAAATTTTTACATCATCGACATACATTAACAAATGTGATTGATTTATTACACTTGGTAAATCGTTTATAAATAATGAGAACACGATTGCACCAAAATGACTCCCTTGCGGAATCCCGGATTTTACACATATTTTATTTGAAACAACTGTTCCAAATTTAAACATCTGTGCCCTACCAGTTAAGTACGATTTTATCCATTTCAAAAACAAATTTGAAAACCCCATGAGGCATAGCTTCTGTAACATTAACATATGGTTCACTTTATCAAATGCCTTACTAAAATCGGTATAAATACAATCAGTTTGACTACGATTTAAAAATCCTTCAATGACAACAGTACTTAGTTCCAGAAGGTTTGTAATTGTTGATCGATCCTTTCGGAATCCATGTTGGTACTTTGACAACATTGATGACACCTGGAAGGATAATGAGTCTGTTATAACCATTTCAAAGAGTTTTGGAATTACGTTTAGTTTTGCAATGCCCCTGTAGTTTGATACATCTGTTCTACTACCGGATTTAAATAATGGAATAATAAATGATTCCTTCCACATAGTGGGGAAATAACCTGTTATAGATTTTTTAAACATTAAGTAAAGTGGGAATGCAAGATTATCAGTACAATGCTTCAATATACATGCAGGAACTCCATCCGGACCAGGCGTAGTAACATTTTTCAAACTTTTTAAATTATTTAAAATGGTCGCAACGTTTAAAGAAGGCGTATTTATTGAACAAAACTCAGGAATTCTGTACGGATATTGAAAATCATCAGTGAGCGACTTATTAGAGTATGTTGTTTTAAAAAACGATGCAAATGCATTTGAAATTCCAGTATCCTCATCGAAACAATCTGAACCATATTTTAGGGTTTCTGGATATACCCTAGATCCTTTGTGTTAATAAAAGTATAAAACGATTTCGGGTTCGTTACTAATTCAAACTTAATTTTATTAACATATTTCTTATATTGCTCTTTGTTTAAGATGTTGTATTTTGACCTGATGCTACAGTAATTAGCGAAGACAGAAAGCGTAACATTTTTCTTGAATTTTTTATATAACTTATTCTTTTTATTCTTTAATTTTGACAATGTAACTGAAGTTTTAGGAGCGGCTTTAAAAATTTGATTTACTTATCCCTAAAGTCGATTTACTTATCCCTACTCCTGATATTATCGAACAATATTTTGTACTAATGGAAAGGACATTAAAAACGCTTTCCGTATAAGCAATTTACGGAATTTCGAAACTACTTCCCGCGATAGATTGTTTGACTTTTGATAAATATTTCACACTCTGTGAGTGGCCCATTTGTTGGTGTGTGTATATTAGAACACACATTTTTTTCTAGATAACTAACCTGTTTTTTATTATTACATTAACATTAGCACTTTTATTTTTCCAAATCTATCCATTTTTTCATTTAATCTATCCACTGGTTTTTGGTTTATTTCATTTTTGGTTATTTTTATTTTTTTTCTGTTATGTTTTTTTTTGCAAAACAAAAAACAAAATTTAACAAACCTGTAGGATGATGATTATATTACCATTACAACATCCAATATACCGTTTCAAAATATTAGCTATCCACCACTTATGGTCTACGATAGTATCACATATAAGCCTAATATTGGATTTACGGTTCAACGTTTAAGTAAAGCTACGAGCGAAGTAAATTGCATTGGTCGATATCGAGGATTGTCGACGGATAGTATTCTTCCAATAAGAGTTTTTCGTATGTGGTGATTATGTTCTTTTTCTTTTCTTTTTGCATTTATTCTTATGACAATTATAATAATATTATTAGTAGTAGATTTCAAATAGTTGATTTCGATAAACTTGTAGATAAAAATGGTATAGTATAAATGGTAGTGCATTTGACATTTTGGAGTTTTGGAATTTGAAGTGTAGGTGTCGCCTTTCCTTGGAGTAGAACTGCACTTGAATTCGCCAATGTCTATTAATAAGGCCCCCAGGAAGATCTGCTGCTTCTCAAGTTTTCTGTCAAAATCCATTATTGTGAATTGTTTAAAAACGTAAGAAACGTTAAATATTTCATTTGATAAATAACAGCTGTTTTTTCGATTGCTGGTGACCCTAATAATAGACTTTGGAAATTCCAATGTTATTGTGAAATGTCATTTGTAATATTTATTGTATATTCTGACAGTATTTCTTATATAGCGTATAATATCATAATGTATATAGCGTATAATATCATTGTAGTTATATATAATAATCTATATTTCACATTTGTATATATCCATTTACAAAGTTGCGTTCAAAAAATAGCAGCGCAATGTATTTAAATATTGTGTTAAAAACGTCATTTTAGAAGATGTCGATCAAAAGCAGTTTTAACGAAAACATAAGATTAATCCATTAGGATTAGTAATAATTGTCACACAAGCAAGTATTATTAAAGATATTGTGCGCTGCTGTTATTTTGATCTTAACTATATGTATTAAATTTTTATTGGCATTTTTGGATTTTTTTAATAAATATATATTAAAAATAATGCAAATATTGTACATATCATGTAGTAGTAGTCTAAATTTTATTTCTGTATATATCATATGTGTATATAATTATAAAATTATAAATATTTGTATATATATTTAATTGTTATACTTTTTAACAGAATTCTTTTATGAAGCACAATACAATTGTTGCTATAGAAAAATCAATATAACATTTTCGTCAAGATCTTATATATATATATATATTAAAAAAATCAAAATTTCGTTTATAGTATTCGATATATATTGATAAGGCCATAAAAAGTCTAATAAGTTATTTTTCTTAAGTCTGAAGGGATAAATAAATATGTCTTATATACAGGGTGAGATAAAAAAACTGCAAAAAATCAAACGCTATAATTTTTACATTATTTTTTAATTTTATTGAATGAAAGCAAACATGTCGGAAATAGCTCCAAATTTTAGAATAAGTTTATATTTGTTCGAATTGGTCACCTTTGGCACGAATTATGCTCTGCGGTATTTTGGCCCATTCCCGGCGAAGCGCTTACTTGAGGTGATCGACAGTTTGGTATTTTTTAGTGCCAACCTTACATTCCAAAATACTTCAGACACAATAGTACAGCGGATTGGTTTCCGGAGATTTTGGTGGCCATTGTGCATTGGAAATGAAGCGAGGAACCTAATTTTGTAACCATTCTTGGTGCGTGATATGTGCGATGGTGCTAAGTCTTGTTGAAATGTCCAAGGTCTGCAGCCAAAATGTTTGCGTGTCCAGAATATTTTCGCGATAATATTCTGATGCTACGGTCGATTAATACCAACGGAGAGCGACCATCGGCTGTTATGGAGGCCCACACCACCACCATGGCCGGCGCTTGATTTCTGGTGGCCAGCTGACCTCTTTGGCAAGTAAACACGATAATTTTGTTTGTTTACAAACGGCTGGACAATGAATGTTTTCTCATAGGAGAAAATCAAATTCGGCAGTTCACCAATTTCGGCCAAGCGAAGCAACTCTTTAGCTCTTTTCAGTCTATTTTCTTTCTTTTGCGGTGTAAGTTCTTGCACTTTTTGAATGTCAATGGCTTTAATCCGAGCCCAATTTTCAGTATTTGCGGAATGGAATATTGCGATATGTTCAGCTTACTAGCCATTTTTTGCCACTGAGACGCGGGTTTCGATCAAGTCGCTTTTTTTACTTTTCGAACCATTTCTGCTGATGTTGCTGTTTTTTCCGTCCACTTCCTACGAGACTCAAAAGATTTATTCACATTTGAATGCTGTAGTGCTCTAACGATAGCCACTTGTAGTTTTCCAGCCAAATATAAAGACATCACACTATCACGCTTGAATTCCCTCACGAATAACTTGTTTTCTGGAAAATTCTCACCAAAATGCTTTTGTACGCTTGTAAACAATGTAATGTGCTGTCACTGTAATAATTTTAAAAGCTGTCGGACGAGTGGCTTAGAAATGACAGCAGTCTGAAGTTGGTTGCAGTTTTTTCATCTCACACTGTATATATTGTTGTTCGTTTATAATTTTGAAAAATACGCTTAATTCTTAATAATCACACAACCTTAAGCCAATTAATAAAGTCAGTAAGATCAGATGGTTATCAGCTGTTTCTCAAGTTTGTTGTTAAAATTCATAATTATCAAGACCTATTAATAAGGTCATCCAGTGATACCGGTAGGTTATCAGCTGCCTTTCAAGTTTACTGTCAAAATCCATTATTGTAAATTGACGTCCGTTATGAAAACGTAAATAAAATGCAAATTGTTTGCTTTAGAGTCGACATATTTTATTTGGAGTTGCTTTAGAGCTCGTTTAGACTACTAAATCCACTCGATTTCAAACGTCAATTCCATAACGTATACGTCACGTAATCCTGTTCTTAAATCCAGTGGATTATATTTGACGCATGCGCTATGGAATTGACTTTTGAAATCGACTGGATTTTGTAAATCTAAACGCACTTTTTAATCGAGGTATAAAATCCTAACTGTTTAGACTAGTATTAAAATGGTATAAAATTGACAGTCAGCTGTTATTTGTTTACGTTTACATATACATATTTCGCTTGTTTCACATATTTGTCGTGGTAAATTTCCAATTTACCACAATAGGCCAAAAACCATTCCGCCATTCCATCTCAACCAATTATATGTAATTTCGTCTCATCTGACCTTCCAGCTCAAGTGGTACACGACCTTGAAAATAGTGTGAATGGAAGGAAGTTCGAATTGTTGAGAAGTCTCTATCAAAATCAATATATATAGGAAATTTATCGCAATGAACTTTGTAGCTTATTGTATTAAATCAGCAATTTTTTATTTAATTTTATTTTTTATTTATTTATTTATTTATTTTTTTTTTTTTTTTGAAGCTCTGAATGGATTAAATCGGATATTTATTCCATTCAGAGTGTGTTTATGAAAAATGAAAAAAATCCGGCTGAAATTTGGTATAAAACAATATTTTTGTTTTGAATTTAAAAATGCTTTCAATTATTATTTAATTAAGTTATCTATTCACTACATAAAATAAACAACTCTGGTTTTTTGGTACTGTCCTTTCATTCTTTTTCATAACTTTACGCACACACTCTCTAATGGGTTACATTTTTGGCAAAAGGATACACCTACACTCATAAAAATAAAAACATTTACACAATTTTCATTTCAAAACAAACAAAAAACTTTGCTGCTTTCGCCATTTTATTAGTTGCTTGCCTGGGATTTTGCTGCTTTAATTAGAATTGTTTTATTTAAAATAACTTGTTACATAATTTTTGTATGAATTCTACTTTAGACTATAGCCAGCGATAGCGGTGTACGCTATAACCCACAATTGGGCTTTGTCATTGAAGTTCGTGGCATGGAAGAGCACGGCACATATACTTGCCGTCCCAAAGTACCATCTCCAGCCAATGAGGAGGAGTATACTGACATCGAAACTATTCTTGGTAACAAAATTGTTAATCGTGAGTTGTTGCACCCCTGTTTTGTGCTTGTTTTCCGTCTTTTTTTAAGTTTGTTAGTTAGCCCTAATGGTCTTTTAACTAAATGTCTAAAACCAACACGAAAAAAATCCTTCCCTACACCTTCAAAAAGAACCCTTTAAAAGGCAAATGTATATCCTGCGGTTGAAGAAAATTTGGGGTTATGTGTAAAAAAAATAGTTAAGAACTTGAAGAAAGAAAACTATGAAGGATTTTTGTGGTTTGTTGTTATTTTTTGGTGATAATGGTTTTTTGTATGGTAAAATTTTGAAGATAATTAACCCGAATAATTTATTTTTTGCAAATATAAATTATACTTAATTGGATAAAACTTTAAATTGCATCTCATTGCAGTTTTCACAGGGTGGTTCCAAAAGTGTAACACGGAATTATAAATCTGACTCGCTCTGCATTTGAATCTCAAAAATATGTCATTTTAAGAAAGTCTATCTGCAAAATCATGAAGTGAAATTAATGTTCGGGTTTCATCACTGCGACTACCATACGCTATCCCTCTGATGAGGAGTTCCGAAATAGGAAGCACCAACAACATAAAGTGAAACAAAATGCTTCCCAACGTGGGATGGTATCTTCGAAAATCCTCACATATTCATATTGCTTCTACCCAGTTTCAGAGATATTTTTTAAAAGAAAGTCAGCGTTACACGTCATTCTATGATGAACCAGAACAGGTCTACCACCGTTCGGTCTTAGTACAGCTTGATGTCTCAAAAGCTTTTGATGCCGACGATAACGTCACACTGTTTAAAACACGATGTTCCGTAATAAGAAGTCCAATTACCTTAAAACGAAACAGAGTATCTAAAGTGATGGTGGTCCCATGTCCTTGAATTAATAGCTTTGGAAACGTCACAGTCGAAAACTTAAAGCGTTTGCTTATCAAAAGTCGTTGATACCGAAAATCAAGTCAATCTGTTTGAAAGAACGTCATCTTACGAGGAATTCCGAAATGTTCACCAAAGTAGGAAATGGATACTACCTATCACTCCTATTAGGCGGCAAAGATATCGTAGTGTGTGCGGATAACCTGTTCGTGTTGTGTTGTTCTGTGACTAGTTCTTCTCTATGAATTACTAACAACAACACCTCCAATATTCTCTGATTTATATTCATCAGTATGCTTAAATCGTCGGTACATAGTGCAGCTTCCTTTAATAATTTAAAAATTTGACCAAGATCTTCAAATCAACGAACGGATGCACTTTTTGGTGCAGACAAACGTATTGGCGCCTTATAACACGATAGTTTGTTCTGCGGCACTACATGTGTCTCACGTGAATCGTAATTTGTCTGATCAGTAGAATAGATTTTCCTTCACGTCAGTATAATTATATGAACCTTATGATAATTCGTATTGGGCGCCATACATGTCCGCACACTTTATATAATTTTATATTACCCCGACACAATTATCAAACGCACTCCAAAGCATTTATATACTGAAGAACGATCCAGGAAGATATGAACAGAAAAGCTGCAAAACTTTAGTATCATAGAAATAATCCAAAATGTACTTTATTGCACTTTTGTAGGCACTGACTATATCTGATTTGTCAAAAATAAATTGCCCAAAAGACAATCTTTCCTGATGACATTCCAACATCATTTTGTCGTCCACCAAGGCAGATTCAACAAAGAAACGGTAGTCGTGATAAATAATACGTTTACTAATCACCCTATGATTGCTACGAGTTGTATTTTTACATATATTATGCACAATGTGAACCACCCTTTTGAAAGTATGTAGTATTTTATGATTATCTTCAAAATTATGCCATAGCTCATTAATTAAAACAAAATGTAATTGGTTTTGGTTTATCTTAAGAAAAAAATGGTGTGTATTTTAATGGTGTTGTGTCTTTTATTATCTTCTTCTCTCTTTCATTTCAAAAAAAAAAAAAATCTTTTACAAAATTTAAAAAAAATTAAAACATATTAGCCATACAACTGGATAAAGGGTCAATAACAACCACAACAACGATACCATCTTCAATTGGAATAATGGGTCTAACAAATTCCAATCAATTGGATGATAATAACAATTTGATAACAAATATTTACACTACCACAACACCCATTCCTCCTCTTTCCACAACAACTAAAACTACGACAGTAATAACAACAACAACAAGTCCAGTGATGAGCACATTACCAAGTACCGTAACTAACCAAAAACTAGTCAATGTCATTAACAGCATCTCTAGTCGTCCAAGTCCAAGTCATCATTCCCAAAGTGGTCGTCGTCTTCGTCGTAGAAATAATCGTTTAGACAATTTTATATCCATTGATGTGAATCCCCCTCAGCTAACAAATGGTGATGGCAATGCCATGCTTAATATTGATGATCCACGTTTGCACGATAATCATTTGGGTGATGGTTTCATTATGACAATACCGCGTACAACAACAATGACTACGATAACACCGACAACGACAACCGATAGCTATAACTATGACGATTACGATGCAAATGCCAATAGCAATGAATCTTCTTCGTCGTCGTCTAGTTCGGAAAATAGCTCCGACAATTCAATGAAAACGGTTTCAAGAATAATACGTAATGTCGAAACCACAACCAGACGTTCATCGCGTAAATATTTAGCTAAGAGTAGTACTCCTAAGCGTAAGTGTGTGTTTCATTGCTTGGTGGTATTGCATAAAAGCTATTTACATACATATTCATTTTCATGGAAAAGTTTTTGTTTTCATTCGGTTGTTCATAAGAAGAGGATACTGAGTTTTTTCATTCATTAGATGGATGAAAGGGATAAAATAAACAAAAGCAAATTTAAGGATAAAATAAACATTTAATAGATTTAATTTTATTATATAAAAAAGTGATGAAAATCGATAACATCGATAAAAAAATCGATATAGTCAAGAATTAATAAAAATTTTAAATATAAAAGTAGAACAATCGGTCGTTTGTTGTTGCACATTTTAATAATTATAAGTTATAGAAATTTATCGACATTATATATTTATGAAAAGCTATACAAAATTGAACTCAGTATCCCATTCGCCGGATTACATTTTGTACACATACATACATATATGAAACTTTCACCATTTACTATAGTTTTATTTCTGTGGAATTAATTTTTATGTTATTGTTTTATGTTTATATTTTGTTATTAATTATAAGTTAAGTAATAAAATATATTAGGTCTGTTCAGATAAAATCCCTTACATATATGTGAACAAACCTATTGCATGATAGATTTTAAAATACTAACACCTCAAACACATATAACGCAAACATTTGTGTATAAAAATGCATGTTGTATATTATTTTTATAAGTTTGTTTTAATATTAAATTTATTGGTTATTTTTTAATTTGTTTTTGTAAAAATTAGACAAAACTTAAAAATACGGGAAAAAAAACTAGAATGCCCTATACTATTACAATCTTATAGTCGAATTTTTATTAATTTCGTAGATTTTTTCGATTACTATTTTTATGCACATTCGATAACATGGTTTTCAAAAGATATTTTATTCGATAACTGTTATTTCTATATATATATAATATCCAATAGATAGAAAAAGTATTAATCGATCATTTATGTTTCATTATAAAGAACCGATAACACCTTCTACATAGAAAGTTGTTTGGTAAGATAATTTTCTAAACAGAATTTGTTGGGTAACTGATGTTCGATAAAAATCTTTTCGGTAGAAATGTTACTCGCTAACCATTTCCCTTTCTGTGGAATTTTTTCCTACATAATAGCATTTTCTAAAGGAAAGTTGTTCAATAGCAACGTGTTCTATGATTCAATATGTTGATCGATAAGATTTTTTCATTAGAATAGTTGTTGAATAACAATTTTTTCTATAAAAATTTTTTCAGATAAACAAGCTTTTCTTTATCTACATATACGCTACTCGATAACAATCTTTTGTATAGAAAAGTAGGTCGTTAACAATATCTTATACGGAAAAGTTGTTCCATAATAATATTTTCCACAGAAAAGTTGTTCAATAGCAACTGTTTCTATGGAGAAGTTATTCGATAACAACCTTTTATATAAGAAAGACAAAAAGTAACCGTTTTTATAGAGAACTTATTCGATAACAAAATTTTCTATAGAAAAGTGGTTCGATAACTACCCATTCTGTAGAAAAATGCTTTCGATAATAACCTGTAATATAAAAAATATATTCGATAACATCAATTTCTATACGAAAAGTTACTCTATAACTTGTTCGACAACGACTGTTTTCTATAGAAATGCTGATCGATAACAAATGTATCTATAGAAACGCTACCCGATAAGAACCCATTCTATTGATAATTTGTCCTTTAACAATATCTTCTAAACAAAAATAGTTTGATAACAATATTTTCTATAGAAAAGTTGTTCAATAAAAAACATTTATATAGAGTAGTTATTCGATAACAAACTTTATGTAAAAAATTGTTCGATAACAACCCTTTCTATAAAAAAAGTGCTTCGATAAAAACTTTTTCTCTAGAAAATCTATTCGATAACATCAAATTTTATAAGAAGAGTTACTCGATAACAACATTATCTACAGAGGCTGTGCCGATAACCGATTTTAAACGCTTTTCTTTTTTTCGGAGGAATCAATTAAATAATTTTTTAAGTAGTTATATAGGGCACCGAAGTTTTCTTCCCGTCATAATTATTATTTTTAATATTTATTTTAATAACTTAGTTCTAATAATCCCCTGACAAACTTAAATATTTTTATTTCTTCCCTAAAAAAAGACGTTATTAATTTTTTGTTCGGACCTGTAGTTGCTTCAATTCTTTTTATTTGTTGCTTGTAATTTATGTTTTATGTTTATATAGTTTTGTGTTTATTTTTTATGTTTCATTTATGCCATTTCAAAAAAACAAAAACAAAAAATCTCCCATCATACACATAAATCATTCATCGAATATTTCCCCTATTTGGGGAATTATTTGTTGAAATTCATCAAGTGAATTGTTTGAAATTAATATTGTAACTTTAATCGAAACCAAACAGCTCGTACCGAGAAAATGGAAAGGCCGAGTATAACATCGACATCGAAACATCATGCTCTGGTAGGTGAAACATTTCAGTTGATATGTGAAATTCGAAGAGCTCATGATGTGATGGTGAATGTCACTTGGAACATACCCGAAGGTGTCGATCCTGTAAGTTGAAAATAAAATCAATGCTGAAAAAAGGAATTCCCTTTACAGAACATATCCTCTGTCCTCATTTTATATATTGTAGGAACGTGTCGTTAAAACTAGCCGACCATCGGAAAAATTCACCGTCAATCACACCTACACTGAAAGTTTACTGACCATACGAAATGCCCAATTAAGTGATACCGGCAAATACACCTGCCATGTCACCGATCACAGCAAAAACAAGAATAAGGACTCCTATGACATGGTCATACTGGAAGAAGGTCAATCCTACATAGACATGCATGAACAGAATAATTACTATGAAGTTGCCTCGACAGCAAATAAAACCATGCAAATGGCCGTCCTCTATAAGGGTTATCCCCATCCCACGTTACAATGGTTCCGTCCAGATGGTAGTGAAATACCTCAAGGTACCTCATTTAGTGGCAAATATAATGTCACCACATTGGATGATAAAACCACTTTGTACATAAAGAATGCAAATCTGCTGGATAGTGGTATTTACACGGTGCGGGCCCTTAATGGTAATGTTCGCAAGGAACAACAATTTAAAGTGACGGTCCATGATACACCAATTGTGGCGATAGATGATGTCTATGTCCACGAAGGGGAGAAGGCACATGTTCAGTGCCGGGTCAAATCGCATATTAAACCGATTGTAACATGGATATTTGAACCGTGTAGTATTGAACCAAGATGGCCGTCGTGTAATAAAAATGTTATACAAGATTTTAATGTAAGTATGAGGAGAGGTTAAAATTATATCGATAACAATGTTTTATTAAAGCAACTGTATTCGATAACAACAGAAATGTTTTTCGATACCAATTATTTCTGCCGAAAAGTTGTTTCATAATAACATCTTCTTTAAACATGTTGTCCAATAACAACTTTTCTACTGCAAAGATGTCCGATAACAACATTTTATATAGAAAATATGTCCGATAACAACTATTTCTACAGAAAAGTTGTCAGATAACAACTATTGCTAAAAAAAGTTGTCTGATAAAAACATTTTCTATAGAAAAATGTTCCGATAACAACATTTTCTATAGAAAAGTTGTCCGATAACAGTATTTTCTATAGAAAAGTTGTCCGGTAACAACATTTTCTATAGAAAAGTTGTCCGATAACGACACTTTCTATAGAAAAGTTGTCCGATAATAACATTTTCTATAGGAAAATTGTCCGATAACAACATTTTCAATAGAAAAGTTGTCCGATAACTACCTTTTCTATAGAAAAGTTGTCCGATAACAACCCTTTCTATAGAAAAGATATCCGATGACAACCTATTCTATAGAAAAGTTGTCCGATAAACACATTTTCTATAGATAACAACCTTTTCTATAGAAAAGTCGTCATATAAAAACTTTTTCTATAGAATTTTTTTCTATAGTTGTCCGATAACAACTTTTTCTTTTTAAAAGCTGTCCAATAACAAATTTTTCTTTTTAAAAGTTGTCCGATAACAACCTTTTTTCTGTAGAAAATGTGACTGATACAACTATTTCTATAGAAAAGGCTATTATCGCATAAAGAAAAGATCTGCGATAACAGCCGTTTTTATAGAAAAGCTTTCCGATAATAACCTCTTCTATGGAAAATACGGAACATTAGTCCGATGGCATTTTCTATGAAAAACTTGCCGCATAACAGCCTTTTCTATAGAAATAGAAAAATCTTTACGTCTTCTTTAGATTAGTTGTTAGATGGCAACCTTTTCTATTGAAAAGTTCGATAGCGATATTATCTATAAAAAATGTTGTTCGATAATAATCTTTTCTATAAAGAATTTGTTCCATAACAATCTTTTCTATAAAAAAGTTGCTTCATAAAATTCTTTTCTATAATAAATTTGCCACATAAAAATCATTTATTTTGAAAAGTTTTCGATAACAACAATTGTCTATAGAAAAGTTGTTCGATTACAACCTTCTCTATAAGAAATCATTCCCATAACCACCTTTTCTATAGTAAAGTTGTTCAATAACAATCATTTCTGTAAAAATTGTTCGAGAATAACAACAAGGTCAAGGTAAATGTTTTCATAAACACATTTCCTATAGAAAAGTTCTGCGGTACCAGAAAAAATTATCGATAACAAAAATTTTAATTGAAAAGTCGTTCGATAACCATGTTTTTTTATAGAAAAGATGTTCGATAACAACATTATCTCATCTTATAGCAATGTTGTTCTATAATAAAAGACAAAATTTACCCATAACGATTTTTTCGATAATTATTTTTGAAATGTAAAAATTTTATTCGGAATTCCCGCCCAAAACAGGAAACAAGTTCCCGCAATGGTGATACCTTTATCGATTTCATATACGACATGTATTTTGTACCGCCATCTCCTGGTATCGTTTATTGCACGGCCGCAAATCTCATCGATAATGTTATACACCGTGGTAAGGGTAAAGCTCATGTACTTGTCCGCGACATTGAAGAGAATATGTCCCTTTATGGCATCAATGAGACGGACATTGTTGCGCTGGGTGATGAGGTGACAATTACGTGTGCTGCAGTTGCCTACTATTTTAACGACAACATTCGGTGGTACAATGAAAAGCGAGAACCCATTATCGAATCGAATAGTAAGTGAATAGCGAACATTCAAATAATTTTGAAATTAATAAAAAAAATATCACCTCTCTCTTGCAGATGTAAAAATAACCAAATCGAAAAGTAACTATTCCTACATGTCAGCGTTGACTTTCAAAAAGGTCAGAGACAGCGATCAGGGTATTTATGAATGTGGTGCCGCTCACGTTAATGATGATAAATCGGAGTATAAAGTAATGAGTCTTATAGCGCATGGTAAGTGAAATGTCGATTGTGGGATTTTTTAGGAAGAGATGCAAAAAATAATTATCATTCTAATTCGTAGAACCCTTTTCACCACAAATGACGTACACCAATTTGGGTGACAACAATAAATTGGAACGGAAATTGGGTGAATCTCTTGAACTGAGATGTGAATCGCATGCCATACCCAAGGCCACGGTAACCTGGTATAAAGATGATGTGGAATTGACGAATATTACCAGTGATTATGTGGGTCACATGATAATACCTTATTTAAAACCCGATGACCAGGGCCAATATAAATGTGTTGTGGCCAATCGTATTGGTGTCATCGAACAAACGGTTAATGTTAAAATCACCAGTAAGTACACAAAAATATCCTTACCTTCAATATAGTTCTGACAAATTTAATTAATTTCCTGCAGATATTCCTGGCTTGACTTTGGGCTGGATTTGCGGCATAGTTCTGATCCTTCTGATACTCATTGGTTTGGTTATCTATCTGTATATTCGTGTCAAACGAGAACGTAAACTATTGCGCGAACTTAAGGCAGCTGGTTTGGCTAATTTCGAAGAAGGTGCTGTGGAACACATCAATCCTGCCCTAACACTCGACGAACAGGCCGATCTGTTGCCCTATGATCGTTGCTTTGAATTCCCCAGGGATAAATTGAAATTGGGCAAACAATTGGGCGCCGGTGCATTTGGTGTTGTACTCAAAGCCCATGCCGAGGGTATACGACCGGAGGAGAAGGAAAGTGTCGTGGCTGTGAAAATGGTTAAACGTAATGCCAATAATGAAGTAATGCGTGCCTTAGTATCGGAACTAAAGATCATGGTACATTTGGGTCAACATTTAAATGTTGTCAATCTATTGGGTGCTGTAACGAAAAATATTGCCAAACGTAAGTCAGAGAGGGGAATTTCCCTGTAATCTGAAAAATTTATAAATTTTATTTATTTCCCCCTAGGTGAACTTATGGTCATTGTGGAGTTTTGCCGCTACGGTAATGTTCAGAATTTCCTAATGCGCAATCGTAAACGTTTCATAAATCAAATAAATCCGCATACGGGTAAAATTGATCCTAACATTACAACACAGAGATTTTCGGATAATTTTGAATTGGATCGGTAAGTCGATTGTTTTTTTCCATCTTTCAAATAAATTATTGGTATAACTCTTTGCATTGCACTATAGGTATTTTGACCTGTTTTTAGGAAAAAATTAATAACAGCGGTTTTAAACGATTTTTTTACTTTTAAAATGATGTATATGTACAAGAAAGAGAAAACGCAGATTTCTACAGTAAAAACCGGATATAACGAACAACGGTTATAAGCAACTACACATATAACGAACAAAGCTAATACTTTTCAGATATTTTCATTAGTTGTTTTATACACAACAAACGATTGAAAACGATTAGAGTAGTAATTTAATAAAATTTCGACCCCGCGATTAAATTTTTAAAGGAATAATTATTACAATGTCGTATGTTTTTGCAGAATGCATTAATAACTATTAATACAGTACCCACTAATACTCCTTAAGGACATTAATATGTAAAAGTGAGATAAAACCATGCTTACTACAGTCGAACACGATTATAGTAAACACTGGATATACTGAACAAATTTTTTTATATGCCACTTTTTTATTTTTAATCAATCCTGAAAAAAGTAAAAAAGTAATTGTTGATGGTTTATATTCTAAGGGGGAACTCAACCCCGCTATTTTCTGTTCTCCACTATTTAGATTTTTTTCTCATAATCTTTCCTTCGACAACTTATTTGCGGATTAAGAGTCACGTTATTTGTTTTGTAATCAAAATTCGTGCGTATTCGTTTTTTCGCGGAAAAGTTCTATCTTCTTATGTCATTCGGTGCATCTTGACAAATGCATGCAAAATAACCTAATTTCCTATTTTAATTTGACGTATTTTTCGTCCATATTGTTGTTATTGGCAATTTTACTTGCGGGGACGTTGTGAACAACAATATATTTCCTTACTTTTATTTCTTTCATCAAACCAAATATTGAAAATATTATTTGTTTTATCCTGAAGTTCCCTACAAAAAACTGGTATACCTTGAAAAACGCAAACAATCGCAATTTGAGACCTATTGGAATCAATTTAGAAGGCTTTCATTTATATATTTCAGTTGTCAAAAGATCAGACAAATTTAAACATTTTAGTAAAAGTCTATCTAAAATGACATATGCGTAAAAAATAAACACATTTATTTTATTATAGTCAACTATGTAAATTTTGAATCGCTACACAAACGTATTAACAAATAGTATATATTAAATAAATAGCGCACACCACCGTTAATACTCTCCATGTTTAATTTTTATGTTTATGCTTTGAATTTAGCGGTTTTAAACGGTTTAAAATACGACTTGATTTATTAATTTTTTTTATTTCTTTAATTTTATTTTCAAAGTTTAGAGTTTGGCAACGATTTTCACCGCTTTTAAGACACTTTTACGCAAAAAATCTTACAGATTCATAAAATTTGACATGTTTTCTTTTTAATGACATCAAAAAAGATTTTATTTTCCAAAATTGAAAAAATTACTTTTTGCCCAAAAACTGTCCAAATTACCTATAGTGCATTGGTACTAATAGCACCCCAATCGAAATTTGTTTTGTTTTCCAAAAAAATATTGTTTTCAATACTAACATTGTCAATAATGATTAAATCCTTGATTTAAAACAATTCCACTAGTAAAGAGTCTAATAATTTTATAGCAAATTTAAAAAAAAAAATATTCTCTACGAACGAAAAATTACAGAGATCACAGAAACTACACAAAACGAACCAATAACTTTTTGCAGTAATATGATCCGCAGTAACCAAACATAAGTTCTCGGTGTACAGCTAGGGAATATTAATACATGTAAGGTAGATCACGAAGGGTGTCTTGTTAAATAATTTGTCAGGTCAAAAATGTCGTATCTTCCCATCCTTAAAATTTGTTCCATTTTTGGCCGTCGACCTACTTCAATTGAACGAGTGAAAGACATAGTTCAGTTTTTATTATTGTCGTTCACTGAACAATTTTGTTTTCCAAACTCAGTCGGTTTCTAAACGACGTTGTTCACTGAATATCTTTGCTCAATGAACGCCGTCGATCACTGAACGACATTGTATTTTCTTCTACACCTTGAGTGTTTTTCACAGGTCCACTGACTTCGACCAACTGAACGGCGTCAAATAAGAACAATTTCATATAAAATATGTTAAATTGAATCATAATTGCAGTGCTTAAAAGATCATATGCTGCAATAGTGTTTTACGTATAGCTGGAAGGTCAGTAAATAATATGTAGCGAGATTTAAAAGCAAAGCACCCCCATAGAAAATCGTGGAGCTGGAAACCACGGAAAATAGGCAAAGGTGTCCGGAGCAACAACTGCAGCGCAAACAAGTGTGCTGCTGAATATAACTGAGTTAAGCCATCGATCACCACCATTAACAAAGTGGAGAAAGTAGATAGGAAAGTCCTTCGAATGATTGTGAAAGGTAATCATTACGGCTAATTGAACCGGCAGGGCTTATTTGGAATACGCTGCCTTGCCAATTTGAACGATATAAGCAACTGAACGAGGTGAACTAGTTCATTAAAAAAAATGATCTAGTTCGTTTGATCACTGAACTGAACGAGGTTGCCCAATACTACTGGTCATGGCACAATAAATAGGTAGTCCATTTAGCGCAGCTGATGCCTTAATTTCTACTTTAATTTTATGTGCAGTGTTGCCAACAATTTGAAATATTATATGGAAAAATTTGACAGATAATCGAGATAAAAACAAAGGTTTTTGTTTTGATACATCAACTTATTATTGAATCATGCTACTGGTCTTTGAAGATGTGTGAAGACTTACCAATTAGTGCGACTTTCTCTTTGAACTCTTCCCACTGTACTTCTTTACCACTACTGACACAGCCTTTGGACTAATAGGTCTTACGCTCATCTTCCCAATAGCGGCCTTCCCACTATCATTATTGCCTACTACCTGCGAGACCGGAGGCTGAGTTGTTTCTGACAACAAGTGTTTCTTCGCAGCTGGTTCATGTTCATCCATCTCATCGTTTGAATCGACATTATGGTAGAAGTCCCGTAGCCATGAGGGCCATGATTTATTCGATTTGACACTTTTTGGTGCTGAAGCCGAAAGCTAGGATTCCAAAGTATCTCTGGCATTATCTGGTATAAGAAGCATTACCGAATGCATCGAAATGTTTCTATTTGGTCTTCAATATACAGAGTGAGATAAAAAAAACTGCAACAAACAAACAAAGCAAAAAATGGCGGAAATAGCATCAAATTTTAGAATAAGTTTAGATTTGTTCGAATTTGGCATGAATTATGGCCAATGAAACAGTTACTCGCTGCCCGAATGTTGCTCTGCGGTATTTTGGCCCATTCCCGGCGAAGCGCTTGCTTGAGGTGATCGACACTTTGGTATTTTTAGTACCAACCTTGCTTTCCAAAATACTCCAGACACAAAAATCCAACTGATTGTCCATTGTGCGCTGGAAATGAAGCGAGGAACCTCATTTTGTAACCATTCTAGGGTGGCACGTGCTGAGTGCGATGGTGCTGAGTCCTGTTGGAATGCCCAAGGTCTGCGGCCAAAATGTTTGCGTGCCCAAGACTTTAATACACCCTCCAGAAGATTTTCGTGATAATATTCGGCTTTTATTCTGCCAAGGTCGATTTATACGAGCGCAGAGCATCGGCTGTTATGCGGCCCACACCATCACCATGGTCGGCACTTGAGGTCTGGTGGCCAACCGAAGGTGAACATTTTCAGCTGACCTCTTTGGAAGCAAACACGATTATTTTGTTTGTTTACAAACTGCTGGCTAACAAATGTTTTCACATCGGAGAAAACCAATTTCGGCTGTTCACCACTTTCAATGGATTTACCTCGTGCTCATTTTTTAATATTTCCCGAATGGAATATTGCGCGGGTTTCGATCAAGTCGCTTCTTTACTTTTCGAACCATTTCTGCTAATGTTGCTGATTTCTTCCGTCCACTTCCTTGACGTCGGGATACGCTACCAGTATCACGATAACGAGCGATGGTACGAGACACTAAAGATTTATTCACATTTAAATGCTGGAGTGCTCTTACGATATCCTTTTGTGGTTTTCCAGCCAAATATAAAGAAATCACATTATGACGCTTGAATTCGATCACGAATAACTTTTTTCTGGAAAATTCTCACCAAAATGCTTTTATATGCTTGTAAGCAATATAAACAACGAGTGGCTTGGAAATTACAGCAGTCTAATGTTGGGTGCAGTTTTTTCATCTCACCCTGTATTAATCTATATTAATTTTTATTCATGGACATATCTAAATGAACTGCAGTATATAACACAATGGATTGCCACTTTTGGAATTTCGTAAATCTTGAGATTTAATCATTTTTGACTAATTTACAAATACTACTAACAATAACAAACAACAGCAATTGTTTCGTTTATTACACCGTCTACTTCTTCTTAGTTCTGTTTTGTTATGCATTCTAATTAAAAAAATATATATTTATTATTATTTTAATAAAATTATTTATTTTTCTTTTTATTTCTTTTCTGCATTTAACTAATATGCACAAATCATGTAATATATTAATCACATGTTTATTAACTTTCTCTTTTACACACCTAACACCGCACATATACCGCCAAAAAACACTAACACAAAACCTAATTGGTGATGGATTTGAAATTCTAACCTATAAAATATATGTTCTTTTTTTCTTTTCTCCGTTTTTATTTTGATATACTCCCCACAATCCCAACAAAAAATTATTTTATGTTTGATATATGTAAATTAACCAAATAAAAAATATATAATTGAAATTAACTTCCTGTCGGTGTTGGTGATGATGATGATCATTATATTGGATGGCTGTAATAACATAACCTTAAAAACAATACCTCCCCAACCAAAAACAAAAAACTCCTTATGTGTGGTGTATGGGAATTTATCATCTAACAAAAAAAAATCAACCTCCTCCCCACAACCCCCATTATTATATCACAAAAAACCCATCTCGAACGTGTATGTTGTAAAAAAATGCAGTTCTGGTCTGAAATATGTTAATTTATCCTTCTCAAATCATCAATATATGAATCACGTCAATAATATGAACAATATGAACAACTATTATTCCATGAATAATCGCAGTGATACGGATAATGATCCACGTTCGGGTACTCGAGCTGGCCGACCTGGTTCTACGGGTTATATATCGAAATCGGAGCTGTATGAGGGTCAAATAAATACATGCGGCACTGAGAATACCGTTATGACCACAGTACCAGAAGGTAAGTTTTACTATTGAATCTAAATCGCATTTATTCAATAGAATTATTTTATGTATTTTTTTAATTTGAGAATGTTTACAATTTGCCAATTTGACCTCGGGGTACAACACGCATTTGAATATCCACACAAGGAATTATAAAAAACTAAACTTTGAAAGAAAATGTTTCGTAAGACTTCATTATAATTTGCAATTTCACGAAATATATCACAAAATATGGGACACAGATTTTAAACATATATTAAAATGTTGGGCGCCACTAATTTCAAACTAAGATGTACTTAATGTAAGGTAATTAAAAAATAAATATGCTATTGAACTGGCAGACAAAAAATTCGGCACAAAGTTCAATAAGTAGAAGATCATTGTAGGTTCCCAAACGAATCAATTACTATGAAGGCTACAAAGCGATGATTTTTTAAGAGTAATTAAAAGGAATTATTTTAGTTTTATTAGGTTGTATCGTCAAAATTGTAAGTGATTTTTATGAGATATATAGTCTCCTCCTAATCGATTGTAGACATTTGTTCTTCACTCTATTAGTTTTCCAGTTTTTCATCAAATCATGACTGATCTCAAATCGGTAGCCACTGCTGCAATCCTTCCTTTCTGTAGTTTTCAAGTTGTTTCAGAATCCACTGGCTGGATTTAACCATATACGCAACGATCATAATAGAAGGTTCTGACACCAGTGATTCCATAAGGTCCAAACACATCCATCGCGTTACGCGTTTTTTTCATATCAGGTCAACGTGACCAAATTTGTAACGCACATCATCATCAAGCGTTGATGTTATCGTCACCATATTGTTGTCGTATTTTCGATAACACATTACTCCAAGGATGGCGCAACGGACACTTTCTGTTTATTACAGTGCCTTGCGTGTCTGGAAATTATTTTCAGAACCCCATGTCTTTTTAGTAACGGTTTAAATACTCTGGACATTGTCGTGTTGAGGTAAAATTCGTTGGCCGAATGAGATTCGAGTTGTTTCGAATCGTAGACCCACTGTCATGATAACGGCACTTAACGTCAGCATATCCTTTTAATAAGGTCATTCAGGGAGATCAGCTGGATATCAGCTACTTCTCATGTTTGCTGCAAAATCCATTATTATGAATTTTTGACATTAGACTTGAGAAAAAACTGGTGACTTTCATTAGCTGGGTGACCTTACTAACAGATCTTGGATGTAAATATGCAGAGAAAGACGATGGGCTATTTTGCTATTTGGTCGGCTGCACTGCAATTCTCATCTTCGCTTCCGAGAAAATGTCTCCAGCTTTTCTACATTATACTTCGGTGCAGATTTTACATCGAATCAGTTACTGACGTGGACTCCTGATACCAATTGTATAAGACTGTGGTACTTTTCTTACATCCACAAATATCTTCCTATTCTGTCAAAAAATATTTCTGAATCTACAGGTCTGACTTAACACAAGTCATCACATTTCATAGAATCGGTTTTGATTTTGCAATAAGTTAGTTACCTCTTCTTTCTTGTGCGTTTTTGTATCTTCAATCTCTGGGTATGAAGTTTTCTAGACCCCTGGTATCACTGACATCGCAGCAGTACTGCTGCTCCGCTTTTCCTCCATCCACAACCTTTTTCCTTTCTGTCACTACAGACAGAATCCTCAGGTAGCACTCAACATTATCGTGTATGTGTTCGCTTTACAAAGGAACTTTAGGGAGAGTCACTGTTATTGATGTGAGTTGCCAGACACTCGAGTATGCGGCTGCCTATATTTCTTCTTGGTCGGCTTCAAAGTTCTCCAGACTTTAAAGAATCGGCGCCCTTTCCTTTGTCACGGCGCCCGATAATGATTCTTCTATTCATATTGCTTGTCTTGTCAATGGTTCGATCGATCGTTAAAATATAAGAGATCTGAATTTGGGCGCCATATTCTCGATCGTAATTTTCATTGAAACTTTATGGTGACACCGCGTCTGGTTAACATTACGCTTTGTAGGCATATTTCGAACCAGTTTGCTCACATGTGTTTGAATACTGAATCTGAATCCGAGCATGGTAGCAAAAATGTGGAGTATAAGACAATCCGTATAAATAAGGTTATGCAGGAAGGATAGCTGCAAATCAGCTGATTCTCATGTTTTCTGCCAAATTTACTTCACATTGTGAAAATGTAAATAATGGGTAAAAACATGGTACAACAAAAAATCAACTATGTAGGTCCTCCTCCAGATAGTCCACTATCTATTAAAATAGAAGGTATAAGGCAATACACCTTATGTAGACACCGTCTAACAATCTATGAATCCTTTGGATTAGTGTTGTATAAAAACAAGATCTTCTTATAAACAATTTCCGCTCAAATTTGTATTCGATGATAAACTCTTTTTCGTTTAGTTCGGTAGATAAAACACGTGGCAAATTAAGCGAATGCTTAACACAGCGCTATTTTGTAATTCTTTTTAAGTCCGTAGGCGTGATTAACTCTTTAAAATGCGTCTTTCTTGTGAGCCGTCCGAAGACGAACTGAAGTAAATTATTTTGGCAATTGGGGTTCGCCTTAAGGATATAAGAGGTGTTCACACTATTTGTTTTTTATTACGATTTGTGTTATAATAATAAATGACAAATAGGTTTTAATATATACGAAATCGTTCACATTGTCATAATCAGTAAAACTCATAAAAAACTGAAATAGATGCATCTACCCTATTATTTATTTATTTTAATATATACGATATTATTATAGTGACTCTGCTGCATCTCCTATTTATTTATTTATTTGAAATCTTAAAATTGAATAAAATATTTTATATATATTATCAATAATTTTGCCTACACAAGGAGTTGTTGTAGTAAAGGAAGAGGAAGGTAATACTTTCCACAATACTATACAAATTCTTATAGTTTTGTATTCCGTATATAACATATTTTTTATTTTTCCCCCTTTTCTTTTTCCCCAATCCCCAAATTCCAAACAGATGAAGATAATATTATGTCAAATAATTCCGTACAACCGGCATGGCGTTCCAATTACAAATCAGATTCGACTGAGGCAATGTCAATTACCACTATGGACCTAATAAGTTGGTCATATCAAGTCGCTTGCGGCATGGAATATCTTTCGTCGAAGAAGGTACTGCACGGCGATTTGGCAGCCCGTAATATTCTGCTGTGTGAAGATAATATTGTCAAGATATGTGATTTCGGTTTGGCCCGCTCCATGTACAAGAGCGACAATTACAAGAAACAGGGTGATGCACCATTGCCCATCAAATGGTTGGCATTGGAATCGTTGAGTGATCACATATTCAGCACCTACACTGATGTCTGGTCATTTGGTATTGTTTTGTGGGAACTGTTTTCATTGGCCAAGGTACCATATCCGGAAATTGATGCCAATCAAAGTTTATATTTGAAACTCAAGGATGGTTATCGTATGGAGAAGCCACCCTATGCGAATGATGATCTGTATGATATTATGCTGGAATGTTGGAGTACAAATCCCGAGCGTAGACCATTGTTTAATGTGTTGAAGGAGAGATTTGGTCATATGTTGGGCGAAGAGGTGGCAAGTGTAAGTAGTTTGAAAATATTGGTTAGCTTTTGGGTTGAAAATTTTTTGATTTGTTTGTTTGTATTTTACAGCATTATATGGACTTAAATGAACCTTACTTAAGAGTAAATACTGAGTACATGAAGAGAAATCAAACGGATTATTTGGCCCTGATGGGTTCACCGGATGAAATGGCACCACCACCGCCTAGATATGTTAATGGTCATATTTTACCAGAAATACGTAAGTTGGTTTAAATATTATTCCCAAACGTCAAACCTAAACAAATACACATATACACCTATATACACATACATTTTTGAGCAGATTTTGGAGTAATAACGACACAGATAGCTGATGTAAAGACCTTTAAAAATTGTTATCGATAACAAACTTTTCACCAAGTCTATGATAAACTTCTGTCTAAATATAACACTTATAAAGTCATCCGATAAGACCAGATGATTTCACCCCAGCTGTCGAAATGCCTTCAATTTTGACATAATACTATGAAAACGTAAACAAACGAAATCCACTCGATGTCAAATGACAATTCCATAGCTTATACGTCAAATATAATCTACTAGGTTTGTGAACATGATTAAGATGACGTATGCGATATGGAATGATTTCCATACCTGGATATACGTCAAATATAACGCCACTAAGGTTTGTGAATTTGATTAAGAAAAATATACGATATGGAATTACACGACATATTTAATGGGCCTTGTACTTTTCTGTAGAAATAAAATGTGTCCCCATAGAAACATTCATTATTTCACACATTTCTATAGTGTGTAACCGACAACAAAAATTGTATCAAAAAGTACACCGATATCAATATTTTCTATAGGATTTTGACACGTTAACACAATTTTCTAGGGAAAAGTTGTCGATATTTAAATAAATAATACATTTTCCATAAATAGTATCGATAACAAAAAAAAATCATCGATAACACACTTTTCCATAAAATAGTAAATCTGTTCATTGAACTATATATAGAAGTGTTTCAACAATAAAATAACCCAACAAATATTTCCGTGGAAAAGTATTACGATAATTTGTTCCAAATGTCTACAGAAAACTACATCTATACTAATTTATTTATGAAAACGTGAATCGTGTCTATAGAAAATTATAACTATTTCGAACTTTTTTGTAAGAATATCATTATCCTTCAAATAGAAAACAGTATTGTTAACAATATTATTAATAAAATAGTGCATCGATAACAAAACTTCTCTGCAAAATGGTATATCGATAACAAACTTTTCTAGAGAAAATGTGTTGATGACAAACATTTCCTATGTCTAGTATATCGATTAAAAACGTTCGTATAACATACATCGACGACAAACTTTTCTATACCAAAAAGTTGCGATAACAAACTAGAAATATTTGTTCATTAAAATGCTTCGATAACATACTATTCTTTAAAACAGTGCATTGTTAAAGAGTATTTATGTAAAAAGACCTATCGATAACGTGATTTTTTTAGAAACGTGTCAATTTTTTCTTAACGATTTTTTTTTTGCAATAACTAAAATCGATAATAAAAATCCGATAACTGCTCCAAAATCTGCTCTAAAAAACACAATTTAACACTATTGTTTTAATAATGATTCTATTGTCTTGTCTTTTTCTTGTACGATTTCTGTATCTCTCTCTTTTGTCTTTGAAACATTGTATACTGCCCATATGATCATCATAATAATACAACAAAACCAAACAACAACAAAAATCCTTGCACACGCTTTTCTACTTCATAATATCCTGCAAAACTTTCTATCTGCTACAATATGCACAACATCAACATAATTTGCACACGCACACACACACAACCATACTACTTATACTCCAACCAACACCAATACAGGCATTGATTTGTCCTCTGATGATTACTTACAAATGAGCCCCAATGGTGGCTCAGTCATTTTCTCACCCACTCGCCCCAAAGACTCACCCCCAATATGCACCGAAGATAATGACGATCATCCACCCAAAATTTCAACTACTTCCTTTAACTTCCCAGATACAGCAGCGGAACAACATTCCCCCACGCTGGCCAACAATTTGGATAGTCCGAATAATAGTAAGCCACCGCGCAACAAAAAAGATGGCATTGATCCCCTGCCCGAGGAAATACCAATGCTGCCGGCAGTCAATCACAGCGAAGACAGTCCGGATCAGCCACGTAAATATGCTCAAATGTTGCAACAGCAAACGAAGAATATGCCCACACCGTCACCCCGCCATCACATAAAGGAGACCAAATTGAATGGTGCTGCCGGCGAGGAGGGAGAGAATTATGTGAATCTAAAATCGCCCAAGAAAGCAATCAACAATAATGGTGCAAAACATCCGGAAGCGTTTTCGAATCCAAGTTATCAGATACTCAAACCTGGCACAGAGAAGGTAGATGTCAAGTAAAATGGTAGGATGCCGAATATGTTTTTTTGGCGGAAAGACGTAACCAAACCACAACCACGCCATTGCCACATTAGGTGTCATGTTATTTATTTTCTTCGTATTGTCCAATTGTGTCTGTGCACTAAAAAAAATCTCTAGGTTAAATAAAATGTAATATATTATAGAACTACTTGTCTTCGAGGATACATTACTCAGTTTTGTATCTGTAGATTCCATGATCAATTGACTAATTAACTACTCCTGTGTTTCATCTTGCTCTTTTCCTGCGTAACAAATTAGTTCAGAAGATATAACTACTACTGAAAGCCTCCTGAATTAAATAATCTGCACTAGGGTTAAAAACGACGTCTAAAGGCCAAAACAGAATGCTTCCGTTGCATTATCCTATGCGTTATGTGTTATCGATAATAAAACGATCGCATAGTGACTACAACATCAACGCTTAAAGGGGTAAGCTGAATGTTCGCGTTGAGCCATCCATCGCGTTATATGTTATCGAAAATACAACAACCAACGAGGGAAACGATAACACAAACGCATATCGTTTCCTTGTGGTTGTTGCATTTTCGATAACATATAACGCGACGGATGGCCAACGCGAGCATTCTGCTTAGCCCTTTAATGGTGATATACGTTGCACTTTGGAGTTAAATATATTTTATCTTTTTGTGCAAAAACGCTTAACGCGCAATCAGAGCGCTATGTGTTGTTTAACTCCCTATTAAACACACACCAAATTGAATCGTGGATGTTATCGTCACCTTGTTGTTGTGATATTATCGATAACACATAACACGACGGATGACGCAATGGAGCCATTCCGCTATGCCGCTACGGCATAAAAGTTTAATGTGCGTTTAGATTTACGAAATCCACTCGATCTCAAATGTCTACTTCATAGCGTATACGCAAATATAATCCACTGGATTTGTGAGCAGAATTAAGGTGACGTGTACACTATGGAATTGACATTTAAAATCGAGTACATTTACAGCCTGTTTTTGTAAAATTCCAAACGAACGAATTCGAGTGACTTACGACCAAACTCCTTGGTTTTGAAAAATATGTCATTTATTTTTGTTTTGATTCAGAAAACATTTATAAACATAAATAAAGGTTTGGTCGTAAGTCACTCGAATTCGTTCGTTTGGAATTTTACAAAAACAGGCTGTTAGTAGTCTAACCGCGATTTTAGTATGCGATTTCATTTTAAGTGTTTTAAATTTATACAAAGCTTTGTTAACCTTTTCTCTAAAGCATAATTTCTGCATTTAAACTAAACAGAATATTGTTATTTATTACAATTGTTTTATAAATTATTAATCTTATTTTTTATATAAATATAGAAGATATATAAAATAAAAAAAATCCACGCATGCATACTGTAAAAATAATAAAAGTTCTAACTAAAAGTTTTAACTTAAATTTTTTACAATAAAATTGAGAATTTGTTATCACCCATACCTAGGACAAATTACCATTAAAGCCTCATTACAAAAACAAACAAAAAAATAAAAAACAAAAGAAAATAAAATCAATTAAAACATAAACGAAAAAACAAGATCTTTATATATGTATTTTTAAATATTATATATGTAGCTGTATTATTGTGTTATACTTACTATGTACATTTAGGATATCATTGTAGCTTTAAATATTTGTTTTATGTAATATAACTCTATTTTTACCGTTAAGTATTTTTATTGAAACAAAGATAACAACAACCAGAAGAAATATTCGTATATGTTTTATTTTATATAATGCGACATCTAATATATACAATTATTAAAATTATTTTAATAAATGTTTATAATAGGAAAAACAAAAATATTGCTTAATCTATACATACATCGTATTCGATCGTTAATAACAGAAAATGCATATATTTTAATTGTAAGTTTTATTAAAGATATACTATTTTTCTATAAACAAAAAATATATAATATATTTCTAAATTGTACAATACAAAATAAAAACAACTTTACCAACTGTACAAAATGGTTTTATTTAATTGTTGTAGTCTGTTTAGTTCGATGATATTTGATTGTTTAAAAGAAGTAAAAAAAGATTCAGTCCGTTTCGCCGACAGAGTTCTTCACAATTACACATTATCAAAGTGTTGCGAATTATATGTTAAACAAATCGATTAAATTTACAAGTTTTAAATATTGACTTGATCTATGCTTGGTAAAGATAAGAGTGTAAAGTTTGGTTCAATTCTAACATTCCATTCGCCTGATCTTGCATTTATAAATATTAAACATTTGGGAAAGTACCAGAAGGAGTGGTACCAATTGGTCTTTAGACTTGATCCAGGTTTGGTACAGATAATAGGTTGTACAAAGTTGGGTTCAAATCGGACATTACATTTCATTTGGTTGGCAACATTGCACATCGAATTCAAGTAGAAATTACGCACTTTGACAGTTAATCGAGGCATCAGCTGCGCTACATGGAATGCCTATTTATTGTGGCATGGAGTAGACCAATGGTCCCCATCTTCTGATTTCATATAGGATTAGTAAAGATAATAGGCTTTGAAAAGTTTGGTTCAAATCGGATAGTCCGTTCGCATGGTATTATAAAATTATTTTGTTGTACAATTTTGATCATTTTGTGGAGTAGGTACCAGAATGAGTGGACCGATATTCTCCATGTTAGAACTTAAACTAAGAAATATTACGATGTGCAATGTTGGGATGATATCAGTTACTACCTTCGAGAGTTGTCGTGCGCATCAGCCGGCTAGACAGACACACGGACGGACATTTGTAAATCGACTCCAAATTGTCTGAAACGGATTTGACCCAAAGAAACATGGGGACTAAAATCAACATTTCGATGAGGCACATGTTTGCCGTAGCAAAGTGTATATACCCATATACTCATTCGCCTTAAGGTAGAAAAATGTTTCGACAAAAATCATTTCAGTAGAAAAATCTATCGATAAATAAATTTCCATGGAATACGCGATATATCACGGCCTATTTATAAGGTTATCCATTAAGATCAGCTGTAACAGTAGCTTTCTGGTTGATCTATTTAATGGGCCTTGCACTTTAATGCCATGTACAGACGAGCGTTGTTCGCTCTCTCATTCGTTGTTCGACCCTTAATTATGAAGGAATTACTTAGTTCCCCATACAAAATTGTCTGAGCGAACACCGACTTTTGTACGTTGTTCAATTCGAATCACTCTCTGAATAACCAATAAATTTGTCCCATCCCTAACAATTGAGAGTATTTATCGAAAATAAATTAATTTTGACAGTTTGAAAATATTTATGAAATTTTCAAACTTTTTCAGTAAAATTGAAAATCATGAATGAAAAGTAAAAAATTTTATAGTTTTTATATATGCAGCAGGATGTAAATTTTGTTTTCTACATAATGCAATATGCATTTCTTTTCCCTTGGTTCTAATTAGCGTACAAAACAAGAAACAAATGTGGGGCAACTCAAACAAAAAAATCTCCAAATTTTTATTTGTGACAGTATGTGACATTTGAATTGAGAAAATATAAAAATGTATTAAAAACAACAACATTTTCAGAAAAAATGGAAAACATGAATGAAAAGTAAATATATATGGGTTCATACTATAGTCAGGAGAAAGAGAATTATTTTTTCTATTTAGATCTCTATGTAATTCACTAAAATATGTTAAATTTTTGGTGTAAAACAAGAAACAAATTGTTATTCAGAAATGTTAAGAGTGTGCACCGCTTTAGAAACAAAACATTTTAGTTGAATATAAGATAACGTACTTTTTATGGAAAAGCCTATCTAGGTAAGAGAAACCCGATAACAAACTTTGCTATGTTACCAATAAAACCAATTCTTTTCTTTTGAAAAATATACCAATTTCATAAATTTTATAGAAAATGATAAATTTTTATGAAATGATTTTATAGAAAAGGCTATAGAATTAATATTTTTCGTTAGGAAAGATGATCGATGACGAAATTTTCTCTAAAAAAGTCGATCGATAACAAATCGAGATGTTCCTGCATAACAAAGTATTATATAAAATAATCCATTGTTAATATTTTTTTTATAAAAAAGATCCGATAATATAACGACAAAATAGTTATGTTAATGCAAAGTAATAAATCGATAACGATATATTTTTTCTATAAAAACGTTCGTCGATGTCATTTTTTTCATGAGAAAAGTGAATCGATAACAAAATTCGTTATATAACATTCTCTTCTCTGAAAAAGATTATATAACATGAAATTGTTTCTTTATAATAGTTTATAGATAAATAATGATGTAAAGAATAATAAATATATAGTAGATTTACAAATAGAAAATTAATCGATACTTAACTGTTCTATATAAAATTATATTAATAACAATCATTCTATAAAATCGATAAAATCTCTATTGAAAAATGTGCCTTTTTTGTAATTTTCAATATAAAAATTTGAAGAATTTCTAGTAGTACTTTTCCTTGTCAATTCCAGTACTTTTCCTTGTCAAATAAATCCTCATAAAGTAGGTTAACCCGGAAAAGTGTCGTTTAAAAGTGTTTTTTCTGACCTCAGTTGTTGAATATGGCATCGGGAATCTTTTTTCTTCTTTGTTTGTAAAGCAAATTGTCAAAAACATTTTCAATATTACATTTCGATTTAATAAAAATTCAAGAAAACTTCATTCATAGAGGCGGACAGAAAGGAAACCTAGGCTCAGTCATAACCCCCGTTTGCCGATTGGTCCACATATTTTATGTTATGTGTGGAAATCTGTCCAGAAATCCCAGCTACTCATAAAATCGAGGAGATTATGTTAGCCTATATTGGAATCGACCCCTTGGTGCTTGTCACAATTCTCGGCGGAGGTTAAATACGCCTATGGAAAGATTTTATACGGTCAACACAATTTCCATGATTTAGTCTTTGGCCGGGGATTTATGTCCTTCAATATTCTTTAAGAAGGGAAGATTTGAAGCCACTCAATAGAAAAAAAAATAGATTGTAATCCACAATATAAACATCACAAGGAGCCATGGGCTACATGTGGGAAACTTAAAATTAATCGCGACCAGGTCTTAAACTTTATTTTGCACTGACCTAAAAACGCCAATAACCCACGAATACACAAATTCATTAATTATTCCTCAAAGAATAGTGCTTGACAAAAATAAATTAATAATTGTTTTTATTTATTTTTGTCAAAAACTTATTGTCAGCATGACAATTTAATTTCTATAACAACAATGTTGTTTTTGTAAAATATTTGTTGTTGTATCTGATGCATACACCTTATTAAATACACCTTGGTATAATTATTACAAGGTAGGGCATAGCAACTATCCGATTAAAATTTTTTCTTAATGTGGCTTCCAAGCTCACAATTTTTGCCGAGGGATCTTATATTAGATTTCTTTCCGAGATTTCTAATTTTTTTCCAAATTTTTCCCGAGTAATCGGGAAATTTCAGTGTGTGTAAATATATAGAAATAAATGATTATAAAAATAAATGAATTGCTCTGTTCCTGTACTGCAAGAATCTACTAATTTGTACTATTTTTTCCGATAACATAAATGAAAAATTGTTATCGTAGTAAAAAATTGTACATTCTTGCAGGTTCTGGTACAGATCAAATAAATTATGTAATAATAATTGGTCTGTTCCAGTACTTTTTTAATAGTAAAGCTAGTAAAAGTTCAGGAAAGCAAATCTAGTAAATATGCCAAAATTAGATGGCAATACTTCAAAATTAACATAAAGGGCTAAGCAGAATGCTCGCGTTGAGCGTTTTTTGATATCGCGTTAACGCACGCAAAAAGTTAAAATATATTTAACTCCGAAGCGCAGCGCACATCAACTTCGAGCGTTTTGTTATCGTTTCCTTGTGGTTGTTGTATTTTCGATAACACATAACGCAACGGATGGCTCAACGCGAGCATTCTGTTTAGCCCTTAACAGCCAATCAGAAGTAGGCAATCCTATTTACCATTTTTACTCCGCCAAATTTCTCGAGTAAAAAGTTTACAAAGAGAACGCCATTTTGTTTTGTGCTCTCTTAAATTTGATTCAATGTTTTACCAGTTTTGTGGGTTCAGGAACGGTTTTCGAGTAAAATGTTGCAAAACTAGTAAAATTAGTAGATTCTTTTAGGCTCAGGAACGGAACTAATATGTTTATATGCGTTCGAAAATATATTTACTTTTTTGTTTGACCTGAAAGTAATTGCTTTGTTATGGATGAAACTTACATTTCATGATATTACAGTATTTTTGGAAAGAAAACACAACATTTTTCGAGTTTTTTTAGTTATGTGTAGAAAAAAATTTCAAATAAACACAACCACTTGTTGTGAATGCTTTTTTATATTTGACAGAAGAAGTCACTATATAGCATGGTATAATTATTACAAGGTAGGGCACAGCTACCAACACAGTTATGTGTTGAAAAAATGTCAAACATAAACACTTGTTGCGTATATTTATTTTATATTTGGCAGAAGAAGCCACCACGTACATTTTTGTTTTTTTCTTATTCACCTCAAGCTGCCCTACCTTGTATTATTGTACCATGCTACACAGTATGTTTTAAATAAATATACAGTGAGTGTATACAGTGAGTCAATACAAATTTGACAAAATTCTAATATATACGCCTAAAGCCAGCATACTAAAGATGTTAAATGAATTATGTGTGATGGAATATGTTTGTGAACATATTTAAATCTTATTTCTGCAAGAATCACAGCGAAAGAACTATTGGTATCGAAGATATCGGCTAAAATCTATAACAACCCAAAAATATTTATCACAAAAAAGTATTTTGCTTTTTATTATTATTTTTGAAAAAAATCATTATGTAACACACGCTTTGTCTTTTTATAGTTACCATTGCTGGTAACCACATACTAAAAGCGATTTGGCGACGATTCCAATAAACCACGGCATATTTTCGCGAATATTTTCTCACATTTACGTTCAATACATTCTCCAGCAATATTTCATTTAATAATTGCTAATTTCTCGTCCTAATCTCAAAATGAGAGTATTAAATATAGTCGTCGCGGCTTCAAAACATCCCAAATAAGTTTAGCAATAAGGAGGTCAGATTTAAAGATATGAACGGTTTTGTGGCAATAGAAATTCATCTTATTTCGAAAATAAATAGATCGACCAGTTTATTCACTGCTGCATTTTATTCGCAACTGGTGGTGTTAAACGGATGTAAAATATTGAATGCGTATTCGTCACCAGCTACCACAGTTTTTTAAAACGCAATAGTCTTTGAATGATGCTTTCTCCCAACCTCATGTACTGTTTTGTAGTTTCTGTTGTTTTAGAACTGTTCATATCTTATTGCTATTTTCATCGCATATATTGGTTCCTAGATCAATATTAATGGACCATAAAGTCAGAAAAATGGGGTTTCGCGATATTTTTAAATAATTTGTTTGTTGGATTTTGGTTTTATTAGTTTTTAAGGCCCTGTTCTCGAGATATATTTTGCAAAACCTCCTTTTTATTATTCTAAACTTATTTGGGATGTTTTGAAGCCGCGACGACTATATTTAATACTCTTATTTTGAGATTAGGACGAGAAATTACCAAATATTAAATGAAATATTGCTGGAGAATGTATTAAACGTAAATGTGAGAAAATATTCGCGAAAAAATGCCGTGGTTTATTGGAATCGTCGCCAAATCGCTTTTAGTATGTGGTTACCCGCAATGGTAACTATGAAAAGACAAATCGTGTGTTACATAATGATTTTTTTCAAAAATAATAATAAAAAGCAAAATACTTTTTTGTGATAAACATTTTTGTGTTGTTATAGATTTTAGCCGATATCTTCGAGACCAATAGTTCTTTCGCTGTGATTCTTGCAAAAATAAGATTTAAGGGGACCCCCCCCCCCATTCTCGGGGTCAAAATTTTTGTTGATATAATTCGAATCTACACTAATTAAAGAATGTCTCTACAAAATTTCAAGTGAAAATCTCAAGAACTCTTGAAGATATATCCGATTTATTGTGTCAGCATCAAGTGACGGCTGAAACTTTAAACGCGTTTTTCTCTAAACATTTTTTTGCGAATTGCGGGCACGATAACTCAAAAACTAATAATCCAATCGGTTCCAAATTTTGAAACGTTTCTCTGGGAGTATATAGCTCTCGTATGAACTAGGATAAAGCCAATCGGTGAAGATCTTCCTTATTTTTTAACATGGTTTTTGGTAAAAAATCGGCGATTTTCCAAAAATATTTTTTCAAAGGTCCACCATTTTGTTAATTTTAGTGCGAAGTCAATAATCCTAGTTCATACGAGAACCATACATGTACTCTTTCTAACACCGTTAGAATTTACGGATTCCGATGTTCCAGTGAGGAGTTATCATGCCCGCCATCAAAAATAAGGACATTTCTTTAATTACAAAAAACAACAACAAAACAATAACAAAAATTTTTTGTAAATTATTTTTTTTTCTCTTTTAAATCTTCAAATATATATGTGCAAAGTTACAAACCTTAACAAGCATTGGTATTGATTTACCAGCCCATTGAAAATCTTGAAAAATTAAAATCGATTGATTAGAAATTAAAATTTAGATTTTGACTGTTATTTTTACTTTACACTTATTAATATCCCATCAATTTGCATAAGTGTGGCATCACTCCGCAAGTGTGTTACCATTTTCAACGAGAATAAGAAGAAGAAGAATGCGACAAAACAGAGAAACAGCTGTTATTGTGCAAACTGTCAGAACGTGATCCGATATTTTTCGACAGTCGTTCACCGACAAAGGCATCCCAAATTGTTTTCAAAAAGTATTTCCAAAAAAAAAAAACCAAATTCAAATAACTTTTGTTTTGAATTTAATTGGCGGTAGAATTGGTGCATTAAAAAATTCCTAAATAAAGAAAGTAAAACAAAAGGAAGAAATCAACAAATTGAATTATGGCACATGCCACCAAACAAGTGAGTGTTATTCGACAACCATCCTGCCGCTGTTTTTTTGTGACGCAATAAACGAAAAGAAGTGGAAATTGTTTTTCATTGCGGCTTTGTTGTTATTGTCGTCATAAATTGCCTAACCAACGCTTTGGCATTTGGATGCAACGTGTTTCCCCCTGGTAATCTACGTGTTTTTCCATTTGCTTTTTAGGGTCCCCAATTGTTAAATGGCTTCAAACGTTTAACCCGTTTCGACAAAGGCTTGGGTGCCCAATTGCCTGAAGCCTATAAAAAATTCTGGCGCGAATGGAAAATGACACAACCGGCCGCCGTCCATTACATACCCAAGGATGGTGTATGGGAACGTGATGAAGTGACTGGTGAAATTAAGCCAATACAAAATGTACCCCTACCGTTGATAGATCCACCGGAAAGTCATCAAGGCATATGGGGTGGTGAGGCTGTCATCAAGGGTTTCCAAAAGCGTCAACGTCTGTCGCGTCGTGTACCACATTTCTGGGTGCCGGTGCTGAAACGATCTGTCGTCCATAGTCAGGTGTTGAATGAGTATATGTCGGTGGTGGTCACCGATAGGACTATTGAGAAAATCCATGAATGTCATGGTTTCGATCATTATTTGTTAAAGGTAAGTTTTTTTGGAAAGGCGAGCATCTTAACAATTAGATTGTAGATATATGAATGCTTGCTAACCAAAGTTTTCACTATGATCTGAACGACTCGAGTCTTACCCTGTCAAAAAATCTATGACCAGCCCAAACGAAATGAAGAGATATATTCTGACATCCTCAGGCAAAGTAGAGATTAAAAGAGAAGATTAATATGCACCCAAACAAAACAGCAAGATAATGTCCGCATGTTCATCGGTCTGTGGTGTGTAGGCTAGACCAATATTGGTATATAGTTGTTTTAGGTAAATGAGATTTATATATCAGCATAATATTGACAGTAAAATCGGTCGATAGATCAATGTACACAAGATTAATTTAGTAGTGACTTATATTTCAATTGATTAACAAATTTAAAACAATTGCGTGTACTGGATGGTTTTCAGTCAAGTATGTTAACTATTTTTTGGACCTTTGCTTGAACGCTCTAACCTAAACTACAGACATGTATAGTTGCCGATCCTATTTCCCTAACAATAAAATAGGTCGCTGTTGCTAGAAACTGATTCGATTGTATATTTAAACTTCCTTTCCATTCGCCACCATTGAGAATATTTTTTCTTGAAATTTTCGGTTGAATAATTGTTGTCTTCGATTGAAAAGAGGCAAATGAATGGTTGCTAAGTAAATATTGATCATTTATGGGATTGCGTTGTACATCATTATTATTATTTACAGTGCATCTGTTTAAGTCAAACTGATACCAACAACGTTCAATGACCAATTTATAGGCCAATAACAAAATTTCTTGTAAATTTACTAATTTATTGTTGAAATCGTGTCGGTCATAAACAAATTGTTTTTCAAGGCACAATGACATTTTTCTGAGCAATTTTAAACATTTTGGGACTTACTTTCCTGAGAAATATAGATCATTCCTTATACCTTTCTATAGGCAAATATATATGTATGTATATTATTTACCTCAAATATATATGTATGTATATTATATATTTCAATTTGTATTAATTTTATGTGTGGTAAGTCTAGGTCAAGTATGTGACACATACACACAAATGTTTGTTATTATTAATATTTGAAATTGAGTCGGTCTTAGACAAATATCTTCAACGAGTCATTGATATAAAGGTATCGCCTATTTTTGACACTTTGGTTCTAGCCTCTCACAGAACAATCGCAAAACTCAGTTTATGGGAAACAAACCATACCAGGTATAAATCAAATTAAGAGATTTTTTCAGATAGAAATAGGATCAGTCTGGCGCGTCTCTTTTAATATTAAAGAATATAGCTTCATAATGGGAACATTTTTTGCTAAGAAAGATCAAACTTTTACAATCGAATTTGATTATATTCAATAGTACGTATACATATTGGGTAAATAATGTTCTTACCAAATTACCTGTATAACCATCCATGTCTTGGCAGAATTCTGAATAATAAGTGTCGAAAAATAATTTAATTTCCATTTCATATTCACTTTTCAGACACCTGCTTGTGACTTGCGTTCAGCATTGGCACTTACATTGAAAAGGAAAATTCTTATTGAACTGTTAAATAATTGTCCATCGCTTGCATCGCAGCCCAGTGAACGTGAGCGTGTTCTCAAGGAATACAAATGTTACTTGGAAGCGGTAAGTTAACTGATTACAAATCTGATTACAAATACATAAAAAAATCCCTCCCCTTTAGTACACTCCCGAAGAAATTGAATGGTACGGTTATACCTATGATGAGGCAATTAAAAAAATTGCCGCCCAAATACGTGAACAAAACAAGCCAGTACCACATAAATTGGAATTCCGTAGAAAATTAATTGAACAACTACAACAGGCCAATATGAAAACCGAAACAGAAGCTGATGAAACATCGGGAAAAGTAAATACAAAGAGTTCGTCAGACAGTGATGCAGACATTGAAGCTCTAACAAAATTGTAAGTTTGTTTGTTAAATTTCTAAAAAAAAAATACATTTTCAAATATGTTTTCTTCCTTTTCCAGGGAATCATCGTCTTCAAGTTCAACTTCATCCAATTGGTTATCAAAGATTAATCCATTTGGAAAGAAACAGGAGACATAAAGTAATATACACAAAAATTAATGCATATTTATTTCTTTCAATACTGCCCCACTTGTTGTTCCATTCTTTGCTCTTTGTTTTCTTAACTTTCTGAATGGTCCCTAAAAATAATATTTTATGTTATTTTTCTTGTGGCCATTCCCTTTAATTCTTTAAATAGATGTACAAGCAATTCGTAATTAATGAAAATCTGTTTTCAATTCCATATGTGTTCATCTCATGTTTGGATTTTATATATTCTCAAAATATTTCCGGTGTTGGAGTTCCTTAACCCAAATAAAATAAAGAGTCGAACAAACAAGTTCAATGCAAAGGTAATGCGAAATAAATAAACAAAAATAAAATGATATGTTGGCCTAGCCTTATGATAATGAAATATTAAATTGTAAACAAAAGTGTTTTATTTTTTTAAATAGCGGGTAGTGTGTATTTAAAATTGACTCCGGATATTAGAAAATACGATCTGGAAATAGGTTCATAAGTACATGAGTATATTAAACTCTAGATTGTCAAGCTTTTCAGGAAGGATTTTATAGGACTCTCCCTGATGGAAAATTGCCCATCTAGATACCATAATACAATCTGCTAAAACAAACAATAATTCTTGTGTTTCACCTATTCAAATGCCCGATGCCTCTGCCTCCTGATTCACTCAGAAAACGATCAATGTTATGATAAAAAGCATTCACCCATGTGAAGTCGCTAATTCCTACTCGAAAACGAAAGGAAATTCACAACGAGATCACTTCACTCCGGCTTAGTTTGGGAAAGTTCTCGTGATCATAGCTTCGAGTACTTTTGTTGAGGACATATGTGAAAGATTGAACACCTACCTCCCCCTATTCCAAACGAACAATGCCCCAAAGTGGGATACCGACAGCACTTAAAGCAAAGTCTAGCAAACCTTATTGACCTCTTATAAATCGATAGGTCGATAGGTGTGTGTGGCCCGCCCAAACTGCATCGTAGGAATAAAAGTGGTGATATTACAGTGGAATTTTTTGTGTTTTTATCAAAACCAACCCATTACCAGTGTCATCCCAAAATAATAATCCCAAATTCTCATTTTACAAATAAATAATGCGCCCACTTTATTATTCTATTGTTAATAAATATAAAATGATACAACTTTTTTACTTAAACTAAATACCAAATTAAAAGTTTTCAAAACAAAAACTAAATTTCTATTGTGTACATGAATAAAATCATTTTTTCTATTGTGTGGGCCTTCATAATAAAATCAGTACAATAAATACACTGATTTTGCTTGTCTATAAATTATAATACACGATGATGTGACAATGGTAATACAAATTATCTTAAAAATATATATAGTAATATATTGCAAAAAAAAAAAAAAATAAATGTTTGTTATTTTTTATTGTATGCATACAAAGGAATGCTGTTCATTGCTAATTTTAATTAATTAAAAAAATACTTAAATGTATTATATATGTGAAAATTAAGAATTACATTTGTGCTTTGGATGAAAGCGGCATAGCGAGTTGTAACAAATCACAAAGTACTTATGTATATGTATATATAACACAATATAAATGATACACCCACAATCAAGCGTCTAACATAGTCTCCTATCCGGTTTTGCTCCTCCGTGTTGTAAATGCCAGGTCGTTACTTGGTTACTCTTTTGTCATTTCATGTGGTTGTAACAACTAGGCAATTGGATTCTTTTTCATCAATGCTATATCCGCAGCCATCATATCATTGACCAACTCCATAAATGTTACCCTCGGTGACCAATTTAATTCACGTTTAGCCTTGGAAGCATCACCCAGTAACAAATCAACCTCGGTGGGACGGAAATATTTGGGATTAATGCGTACTCGTACAATGCCGCTATCTTGTTCGATGCCAACTTCATTAACACCCTCACCCTGCCAAATGATTTGACGTCCAATATAACGGAATGCAGCCTCAACAAATTCACGTACACTGTGCGTTTCACCCGTTGCTATAACATAATCCGAGGGTGTATCACGTTGTAACATCATCCACATAGCTTCAACATAGTCCATTGCATGACCCCAATCACGTTTCGAATCTAAATTACCCAATTCAAAATATTCCAATTGATTGAGATAGATCTTGGCAACAGATCGGGTAATTTTACGAGTAACAAAATTTTCACCACGTCGTGGTGATTCGTGATTGAAGAGTATACCGTTGCAGGCAAACATATTGTAGGCTTCACGGTAGTTAACAACAATCCAATAACCGTACATTTTGGCACAGGCTGGAAGTAAAAAAAAATAAAATATGTTACAAATATAATTTATACTATTTTGATGCAGAATAAATTAAAAACCGTTGGTCCATGAAAAATTAGTAAAAAATAACATCCAGTTATAAATTAAATAGGAGGTAAGGGCGAAAAGGTGTTTTGTGTAGAAATAATTCCATCCAATGGCAACAAAAACTAGAACTCTTCTAGAATAGAATGATCTGATTTGGACATTAGAAGCATTTTATAGCTATAGCCCAAGTAATATTGCCCATATATTAATTCCGGGTAGCTTTTCGTCCTTCTACAATTTAAGTTTTCAGTTTTAAGTCCATCTTTATTAAGACGTCCTCACATTAAACTAAATTTATGACTTTCTTAGGGGTTTGGAATTCATATCAGAAATATATTCCTTGGGGCTTACTGCTTCAACTAAATTTAATTCTGATCAGCTAGTGTACATCAAATACTAATAATTATCTTTGGAAGTTGCCTAACGACAATAAACAGCCCCCAAATCGCCTTACATCAACCAAATTCAATTCAAATTTTAATTTAATTAACATACCATATGGTGATCTGGGATAAAACGGTGTCTGTTCATTTTGTGGTGTCTCCACCACTTTGCCGTACAATTCCGAGGTAGATGCCTGATAAAATTTCACCTGTTTCTCCATGCCGCAGGTACGTATAGCATCCAGTATACGCAGTGTACCGACAGCATCAACTTCGGCGGTATATTCACTTAAATCAAAGGACACTTTAACATGAGATTGGGCAGCTAAATTATAAATTTCCTGAGGTTTAACGGTATTGATAATTTTCACCAAACTACTGCTATCAGTCATATCGCCATAGTGTAATTTCATGGAGCCACCTTTGTGGGCCTTTGGGTCCGCATAAAGGTGTTCAATGCGCGATGTATTAAAGGTACTGGCACGGCGAATAATACCATGGACTTCATAGCCTTTTTTCAGCAGAAATTCAGCCAAATATGAACCATCCTGAAATTAAAACAAAACATGTTTAACATTTTTAAACACATACACAATTATATCTAGTATAGTTCTAATACTGTTGTTTTTTGTTAGTACAACACTATTGTTAGTGTTTCCTTATCTAAACATATCCATCCATCCATCGACCCAATTGAGTCATAACGATACATCGACGAACACATGTATCAACTGAAATGCCATAACTATTACGGTGACGTTATTAAGTTTAAATAATTACAACATTGTACAATTATTATCTGAATACCACGTAGTATCAGTACAAAATGATTTGGTGCTGATTTTTCTCTACCTGTCCTGTGATGCCGGTAAGCAAAGCAATTCGTTGCTTTGGTTTTTCACCATCATTTAAATTTTCCACAGCTTCTTCAGTCCCCGTAGCATTTTTAGAGTTCTCCACTACATCGTTATTCTGATTTTCACTCATATTTCTTGGATATTTTAATTCAATCGGAAATAATTGCAATTATCTTCCCCCAAATGCGCGACAATATGCGCTGCCTGGCTTTTCAATATAAACAAAGGCAAGCAAAGTGATACAGACGGGGTTGCCGAGTTTCTTTATATAGAAGTATGTTTTATAATTTTGGTCGATTTTTTTAGGATATTAACAGTTGGCATTTTCAGAAAGAATTGTTTGACTCTATAGAGGTCACTGTAATAAAAAGTTATGAAAAATAGACTACTAAATAAATTAACGTATTCATTAATGATGACTAATTTAGTGAAATGTACTGTGTATAACATACAAAAGTTTGTAAATTATATATGAGTTTGTGTGTCTTTTGGAATGGCAACTCTATTTACTGTAGCTGAGATAGGGATCTAAAAACTGATATGTGACTGTCGTCAGCTTAATCGATAATACGTTTAACTGCAGTATTATCGAATTTTTCTTTGACCGTTAATATATCCGTTGAAGAATATAAATGATAAATTAATAGCTGTGTCTGGTTACTATTCCAGTAACATTTATTCCAGTAAAATATCTCTTGTTTTCGTTTAAAATGCTTGAAATGTTCTTTTTACAGTTATTAAGGAATAAAATTCATAAAATAAAAAATGTTTCTGGGCTTTGGTCAATATTTAAAATTAGCGGCTGATTGCTATACCTGGAATTGTACTGTATAAATCTTACTGGAAGAAATCTACCCAATAACATGCAGTAAGTTCTCAGCTTAGAACTGTCAAACTAGCTTTCTCTTTTCGCTCTCTTTTAGTGGAAATTGACGTAAACAGACAACATCCAGTAACATTTGGTAACAATTATTACCAAATATCGAGTAAACAGACACTGCTATTATTCATCGAAATATAATGACACGATTTAGAATAATAAAAAATGACTTTGTATAATTCTGTGATTTATTTTGGCAACATTAGAACGCATATGGTGTCTTCCGTACACAAACTTTTCAAATGTATAAAGAGAAAATCGAAAAATATGTTGATTCTTGCAGGTTCTGGAACAGAGGAAAAGTTTTTCATGTTAAAATCATGGTACAATTATACAAGCTGCCTGTTGGGAAAGTTTGAAGCAGAAAATATTAGAGCATAGCTACCAACTGATTAAAATTTTTCTCGAGTTGGTTTGTTCTAACAAATCAAAATACAAATTTTGTGTATGCGTGTGTATTGTTTTAAATACCATGTCATATAAATTCAAATTAAATCGATATATATTCAAATAAAAACATTGGAAACATATGACTGCATGAGACTACATTGTATAATTATGCCATGATACTAGCACTAGAACGCCGAAGGCAGTCATTTTGACCGCTTTCCAATTTCAAGTACATAATGGCAACAATTAATAATGGCAACACTTTTTAATTTGGAATTCATCTATTAAATTCAAATTGTTTAAAAAATAAATTCCATAAAATTGTATGCATGTCGATTGGCATATTTTGACAAATGGTGAAACCAAAACAAAGGTTTTTTATTTAATACATCACCTTATTATTGCATCATGACTAGCACTAGAACGCCGAAGGCAGTCATTTTGACCGCTTTCCAATTTCATGTACAAAAGCAACTGTGCATTTAATGACACTTTTTTTAAATTTGGTGACTTTTTGTACCTCATAGAATTACGTTTATTATAAAAAATTCATCAAATTTAAAAAAAAAAGTGTCATTAAATGCACAGTTGCTTTTGTACATGAAATTGGAAAGCGGTCAAAATGACTGCCTTCGGCGTTCTAGTGCTAGTCATGATGCAATAATAAGGTGATGTATTAAATAAAAAACCTTTGTTTTGGTTTCGACCATTTGTCAAAATATGCCAATCGACATGCATACAATTTTATGGAATTTATTTTTTAAACAATTTGAATTTAATAGATGAATTCCAAATTAAAAAGTGTTGCCATTATTAATTTCTCAAATGAGACTACCTTTTGTAATTATGCCATGGAAATTGATATATGAATTCAAAATTAAAAAGGGTTGTTATTATCAATTTCTCAAATGAGACTATTTTCTGTAATTATCCCATGGCTCCTCTGTTTGCGCAAGTACCCATGCTGATGTCATTAGTACCGAGGTATATAAAAATGTTGATTACCTCAAAGCTGTACCACAATTGGTCCGAGTATACTTGACGTCTTGCCCGTTGACACTATCCGCTTGGCCTTCCCACCATGCCACTTTGGCAGACTCCTTCACAATTTTTCCAAAGGTGACTATTACCGCTCGCAATCTTCGACTCATTATGTCCATGTCATCGGCATAGGCGAGTCACATTTGTTGTTTGGTGTACAGAGTGCCACTTCTGTTCACCTTTACATCTGGGATGATGTAAAATTTTTAAAATTGTCACACGAAAATCTGTCAACTTATCTGAACACTCGTTCTGTATTGAAGGAATCCGACTTTAAACACCTTTGAAGGATAGGGCTGTCAAATAGGTAGAATTTGTCGATGTGTTTTTCGTGGATCTTTTTCAGGATTTGGCGCAGTGTGAAAATCTGATCTATGGTTTTGCTTTGTTTGCTTCCCATTTGCTTGAATTACAGTCTGTAATCTTCTCGGCATCGAATTGACTAAATTTTCGATTACTTCTCGTGACATTTTTGCCATTCCTTCAAATTTTACTGGCAAATTATTGTACTGGCACTAACAGTAGTTTCAGACGTTTCTGAAATTTCTTTGGATATTCTAATTGGATATTGAACCTCATTCAGTTTTTTTTGGCGTGTCACATTTAGGATTATTTTCCAATTTGTGGAACTTTTTATACTTATCAATTTCTTTTTTCACCGTATTGAGACACCTGCCAATAGTTAAACCAATTTCACGCAGTGATTTTCCCTCATTGTGAAATTTTATTATAAGCTCACGTGTATCGAGTGAGGTTTGTCTACCCATTATTATAATTGTTGCTGACCAATTCACTCCTAAAACATTGACAATTTTAGAACCAATAAGAAAAAAAACAAGCAGAAAGGAAAAAAGAAAAAATAATGGTAAACATTCGTGTACACTTTCTTTTGACTCTCACTATAGGTCGGCTTGTAACCCATCGCCACCACTTTTTATAATTATTCACCCGATTAATTGCTATTCTACCTCATCTGGGCAATCTACAATATATAGCGGTATCTCTTATTAGTTTTGGGGTATCTTCTTTACCGCTACTCTTTGATATCAGTAGCTTTGAAAAATGCTCCCTCCGGATCCTTAAAACGCTATGTATATCTGCCATCAGGTGTCCTCCTTGGTTTGGTAACCTACAGTTTGTAAGGAGTGGGGAATTCTTTGCCATTGTGGTTCTACATTATTATCGGGGCAAGGAGTGTTTGCAGTTTTCGACGTCGAGTTTCAGTGTTATAATAGATCGTGCCCTTGCGAGTTGGATATTTCGAATTAGAGTCAATTTAGAATGCACAGTCTAAATGCGCCTTTATACTACAATTTAAAATATGTTGTACTGAATGTTTTAATTTTATGGTTTAATATCCAGTCGAAAAAGGCAGAACTTTTTTCGAAACATTTGGATAAGATCGTTTGACCGATGTGCCATTAAAACGTCATAAACGATATCGTATATGTATGTATTATTATTATTATTGAATTTATGTATTATTATTATATGTATTATTATTGTATTCAATTTTAATTATATAATTTTTTAAAACAAAACACTGCTAATAACATTGCCAATGTTCACTTTATGTTTAGTGTTTTGAAAAACGTAAATATTGTTGCCCAGTTCATTGACTTACAATACATATGTACCTATGTATGTGCACACAAAGATCTTCTAAGACCACAACAATTTTCAATGCAGAAAAACTCGTTTTTTGTTTTTATTTTTTTTTCACAAGCAAGGCAGCCAAAAGTATGTCATTGGGCAATTAAAGTGGCTGCATTCGGAAACAGTATTGAAAACAAAGTTGTGGTCATGCCACTATGGTTACGAATACGTGTAGCAAAACAAAACGGTTTTAAATTATGCGACAGTGCTGAGAAACTGTTACGTATTGTTGTTTGAAAAAAAGCTCGCTGCATGAGAAATATGTTCCGAAGTTTACAGTAATTATTAGAGAAAAATGCAGAATGCTTATAATAATATAGTTGCTATTTGTAAATAATATCGTGTGATTATTGTAAACCTAGACAAACCGGTTAATTTTGAATCTCTCGTCACTGAGAGGCAACAAATGCGATCGAGAAAAAAAAAACAACTTTTGTTTTCAAAAACACAACACACATATTTTACTCACTACCTCATAGCGAACCACCCATTCAATAAACATAAGCATATGTCTACACATTTTCTTATTTTATTTAGAATTTGCATATTAATTGTTGATCTTTTGCACATACATATGTATTTCCATAAAATTCAATGATTGTAATGGTGTGTGTTTGTTGTTTCCATAAACATTTTGTATCTTAACCTTTAGGAATTTGATCTTCGGCTGAGAGAGTAGCAAAAAAAAGCTTTAATTAAATTATTGTATTTGTTAAAACTTGCACAGTGAATGAAAATCAGAGATGTGGAATGAATCAGTACGTACATTCTATTTCATCGACTATTGGAAGAAACCCTTATTTATTTTCGCGTTTTTAGTATAAAGTTAACGATTACAATATGTCTTCTAAATCGACTCAATTTATTAATCGAGGTTCAAAATTTTAGCTGTTTAGAGCACTTGTATACATCACCTTAATCCTGTTTACAAATACAGTGTATCATATTTGACGTCTACGCTATGAAATTGATATTCGACATCAAGTGGATTTCGTAAATCTAAACACACTTTTATACTAGTATGATGGCACAATGAATAGGTAGTCCATTTAGAGCAGCTGATGTCTCGATTAACTGTCAAAGTCCAAGGAAAAAATTGACAGATGGTCGAGACAAAAACATCATGACTAGTATCATGGCATAATTATACAAGGTAGTCTCATGCAGTCATATGTTTTCGATTTTTTTATAAATTCTCTTTGACAGTATTCAACTTTCAAAATATAAATGAAAATATCTTCCTTCGAAATGTACGCATATCATGTGTTCTGGGGCAAAAAATGCTAAATAATATTTATAAATATTTTGAAGTTTCCTGCCTCTAAAACTTATAAATAAATAATGTAACAACCATAGTCAAATCTTGAGAGCAATGTTCAGCTTTAGAAAATATATTTTGTTTAATTTATTGAATTTATTTTTCATTTTATTTGAAATTTATATAGGAATTCCCATGGTACAATTATACAAGGTAACTGCAATACTCAGCTGATTTGATTGTATCGTAATACTCGTGTCAAGTTCGATATGACATTTTTGATTTATGTAGAACGACCCAGTAGGAAAATTTTGTATACATTACATTTGAAATAAGAAATAGATAATATAATTTGAGCTTTACAATATATAGGGACCAGAAAAAAATACAACATAATTTTGTGAAATGTTTGACATGTATTTTTCCTATATTCCCAAATATGCAGACGATGGAAAATATAATATTGGCTTGTACATTTTTTTTCAACAGGTTTTACAACCATGTATTGGCATGAGCACTTCAATTATATTAATTTAAAAGAGTACCAATCGCGCGTTAAGTATTATACATCATCAAATCAAAGAAATCGCAACAGAAGTACGATGCTTTCTGGATTATATTTTACTTCAATTTCCTAATGGGAAAACTTGAAGCAGTAAATCCTTTTGCAATGAAAAATTGCAGTTTTCAACTCTATTTTTAGCGTTTTTGTTACCTCTACATATGGCAATGGATAAATGTGAGGAAAGACCTGGAAGCGCTAGAATTATAAATTTGCAAGATTTTCATTCATGTTTTTCAATTTTACTCGGAAAATTCAAAACTATTGTATTTTGAAAATAAATTTATTGATATTTCGTATGTTTTGTTTACATTTTTCGACATATCATACTGACACTAGTATTACATACAATAACAATTTTCTATGTGGTTGTTGTTGAATTGTATTTCTTGTAGTTTTGCAGTTAACTTAAAGGGTTGCCATTAATTATGTCATGAGATTCCATTAGGCCAAAAATGTAATTTTGCATATGTATATTTCAATTATAGTTATATTTATTATAATTTTTTTAACATATATGAAATTTTTAGCAGCTGCCATGGTACAAAAATACAAGGTAGGACAGCTTGAGGTGAATAACAAAAAAGCAACTATGCACGAGTGGCTTCTTGTACCAAAAATAAAATAAATATACGCAACAAGTGTTTGTGTTTATTTGACATTTTTTCAACACAAAACTAAAAACAAAAATAATGAAAACACACAAACCAACATCCAGTATGTGTGAATACCATCAAATGTTTGTTTCATCCATAACAAAGTAATTACTTCCAGACGAACGTGTTAAAAAAATAATTTTCATTTCTATTAAATTTTAATATATTTCAATTTATTTTGAATTTATTTGAGATAGTATTCAAAACAATACACACACATACACAAATGGCCTGTTCCCGTACTGCAAGAATCTACTATTTTTTACTACGATAACACTTTTTTCCATTATGATATCGGAAAAAATAGTAAAAACTCGTAGATTTTTGCAGTACAGGAACAGACCAAAAATATGTATTTTGATTTGATGGAACAAGCCACCTTGAGAAAAAATTGTAATCAGTTGGTAGATGTGCCCTACCTTGTAATAATTATACCATGGCAGCTGCCATATTTTTTAGTGAGCTATTTTAAATTTTAATCTATTTTAGAAACATTGATGCATTTTTGTTGCAAAAGCAGGGTTGTACTTGAAATTATAACAAGTAATTATTTTATTTACATATAACATTTAAACATGATTAAAGGCTGAATCAGGATTTATTTTCTTAATCTGGCTGAATTCACCACGATTTATCATACAAATTTAAATCATCATGCGAAAGGATTTATTTTAAATCATGATTGAAATCATGATACTAATGAGATACAACAAGGTTTTTGTAGGAAAAATACAACTCTCTCACAATGTAAAAAAATTGCCACTGTTTTCACATGTTTTTTTTTTTTATATTTAACAGTTACCAAATACAAAACTGAAAATTCAAAATAAAACAAATATTATTTATAGAATTTGTGAGTTTTTAGGTACTTTTTTTACTTTCAAAACATTGAGAACATTGCATAAACATTTCCATTGTTGTAATTTTTCTTTTGCGTAAACGAACAATTGAACGTAAGTCCGATTAAAATATATGTATGTCTGTACATTGCATACGCATTTATATGCAATATAAAGATTTATCCATCATATATAAAATCTATAGAAAATAACCATCTTTTTTTGTTAAGAAATATGTCAATCTTAGACAATTTATTTTTAGTTGTTCAATATATATTTTTAAAAACATTCGCCGAAAACACTGTGCATTGCGTGTCAACACGATCAACTTGTGAGCATTCACAATGCGTTGCGAGCATTGGCTATTGTTTTGAGAAGTAGATTTTCAGTTTAGCTTTCGATTTCGAATATCCAAAGATGTCGTATTGCTATTCAATTAAGTCTCCACATACATTTAGTCGTTCGCGAACGTTGTAGCCTCAAACATCTTAACTTGACTCTTTCGTCTCTTCCAACAACTATTCAGTGTTTGTTTTTCTTTTTCCTAAAATCAAATTCAAAATGCAAAAAAATATTTTGATTGTTTGCAGTGTATTTGCCTTGTGTTTGGTAAATAGCGGTAAGTGAAGTGTTTCCTCTATATGTACAGACGTTACATGTATATACATGTTTTGTGGACGAATGAGTGTGTATTTAAATTTGAAAATTTGCATTTAAACGCTAAAATACCTATACACAAATTAATGAGCCTATACTATATTCGGTTTTTTGGTTGTTTGAAGGAAAAGTTGCTAAAAAACTTGTTTATATTCCATAAATCTGTTTTTTTGCCTTTGCTTGAATAGAATATCGAACATTCTCTGGCTTCTCAATGTCAGCTTGTGAATTGAATGTTAAATATGTAAATATTTGACATCATCAGTGTTGAATTGTTTCATATTTACAACGCAAAAGCAGTTATAATTATAATACTAATTATTATTGTTGTTGTTATTTACAACTGGTGAGATTTTATAAAATATGAATATATAAACAAGTAAATGGTGAGTAAATGTGCAACCTGCGCAAATGCGAGAACTCATGGAAATATATTTTATTAATTGTAGAACGTAATATTCTGAAAATTTTTTTTTTTTTTTTTTTTTGGTTATTTATCTAATAAAAATTTAAATTTGTAAAAACAAGCTTGGGCTAAAAAGTACTTTAAAGATTAAACATTAAATTAAAAATCCCCACAGTCTTGCATTCTCACGTCCTAGATGATCTGATATTTGCACCAATAAATCTTGTGGCATGTTTACATTTATGACTATTATTATGATACACTGTTCAATTATGTATAATTAGGTATATTATATAGGAACATATATGTCAAATCGATTATAATAAATTAAATTACCGCTAATTACCGTAATTATTGACAAGTGATGCAGTGGAATATATTTTAATTGTTTTTGGAATTGTCTTTAATGTAATTATCTAACTGTTTAATGCCAGAATTAAAGACAATCAGTGTTTAATGAAAATATTTAATACATAAGGGTATCATAAAATGAAGATATCTTTCTTCATGTCATATAATTAATGTGGATAATAACATTAGGTTCGTTCGTTTACTTTCCCAGTAATATTTACTCAGTAAGAATTTGCAGAGAGTAAATACGAATTTGTCCTTTTCAAGAGAGAAAACTGGAAAAAGTAAACGAACAACATCCAGTAAAAAGATTGTTTCGACACAGCTGATTAAAACAACAAACAAATTGGCGCAAACTATAAGACAGCATTTTTATTAGAAAAATGGATAACAAGCGGAAAATTGATGTTGTTTGTTCCCCATAAACATTTAAAAGGGTTGTGACCTGTTATTCCTGTATCTGCAATTGATATGGGGGTGGACATAACCGATGGTGTTCCAGACATGTTAGGGATGCACACTTTTTTGTTTCGATTTGGAACCTAAAAAATCGTTCGCCAATTACTCTTATTACTCTTATTTTTAAATACTTGCGTTTTCTTCATCCATTTTGGTATTTAATGATACAAAATCAAAATAAAATTCACAAAACAATCAATTTTCTTGGGAACATTTTTTTGTTTGTTTACAAAACATAAAAAAACAGCTGATTATATATCAGCTGATGGTACAAGAAAATTCTTACTGAGTAAATTTTCCTTGTAAGAATTTGCAAATACTCAGTAACACAACTGTCAAATCTGCTCTCTCAATTCACTCTCTTTTACTGGACTTTTGGGTAAACGAACAACATTTTGTAATAATTTGTACAAATTCGTACAAATTATTGAGTAAACGAACGAACCTATTTAGTAAAACCTTTTTATTTTATTTATTGGTCAATAAATATCGCAATATGCTCAAAACGACAAACATGTACACCACAATATAAAATTCGTCTTAAAGCTATACAATTCAAACTTAATATAAGGATTTTAAATAACAGACTACAATGCAAAAATAATACCATAGACAGACGACAGCCTTAATTTGCATTAAAAAGTTCTTAATTTGAATTAAAATTTACCCCTGACAGACGAGAGTTTCTGCATTTATGAACGAGTTTTTTGTTTCAAAACTATTGTTTGTCTGTGTGTAGGAAGAAAATATTGACATTTCTTTAAATATTTTTTTGGATTACATCTTTTTGAAATTGATACATGGCAGGAAGGAAAACTAACAGCTATAATGAAGATAAAACAGCTTCAAATTTGAAGAAATGTTGAATTTTGCCTCTATTTTTAATTTTTATTTTCGTAAACGTAAACGAATTTGACAACAATCAATTTATTTTCTACAGCATTGCCATACTGAAATTACTTAATTCAGTATAAATTCAGATTGATTTTGTGCATTAACAACACATAAAAATGAGGATAATGTACAAGTTAATTTGAATTAAGGCTGTTAATGCAAATTAAGGCTGTCGTCTGTCTAGGCTATAAGGCTCCCCAGCCTCGTAAAAAAGGAACATCGTAGTTAGCGACTATTGATGGTAAATCATATGATTGCGACATCAGTCAATCCCATTATTAACGTCTTCAAATAAAAATTCCACAGCTCAACTGGAAGCTGATTCCACAAACATGCAGAACGGACAATAAAAGATCTTTCGTATAAAGATGTAGAAAAAACGTGGAAAAATTAAATGTGTGTTCCTGCAAGATCTCGAGAAAACAAACCGATCTCCCAGGAAACCAGGAAGTTGCAAACTAACCGATTTGTAAAGAAATGAAACAACACGTTGCTTTACAAATATAGAAAAAGGAAATACTAAAAAATGTGTTACATGAGCGGAAAAATGGTCCGACGGCGTAAATTTTAAACATATCTCACAATCATATTGAATAATATATCTATTTTAATAATTTTTTTTGTGAAGTGATTTCTATGTCAGTTAAACTATAGCAGAAATGCAACTCTGTAGATAGTGGATTCTAAATTCGAATATGAAATAAATATACGCAACATGTTATTGTTGTTATTTGACATTTTCCCAACACACAGGCATTCCTGTTTACCATTTTAGGTTCTGGAACGGAACAATGGTATAATAATAGAAGGTAACAGCAAGTGTTGTTGTACAACAAACGATACAACAACCACATGGAAATTTCTTGTAAGTTTTACTAGGCCAACGTCATTTGACAGAAAAATTTAAACAAACAAATTATTTTTATTTTGAAAATGTAATATTTTGGTATCCTCAAAATAAAATTGAAAAACATGAATGAAAATCTATCTAATTTATATTACTATTGCTTCCACATCTTTGCTATAATTGAGCCATTGCCACTTATACGTGTAACACTAATGAAATTGCTGGGTATTGCGAGTTATTCCATGAAAAAAGATTTGCTTCCTCAAACTTTCCCAGCAGGCAGATTGAGTAAATTGAATGCGGGAGGACATTTAATAGAGAACAATTTCGAATTGTATGCGTTCCCAATTTTCCTGTTGGGTAATTTTTAAAAACATAATTTGTCATATTGATATTGACACTAGTTACGTTGAAATCAAATCAGCTGGGTTTTGCCGTTACCTTTTATAATTGTACAATGGTATTTTCATTTAAACTTTGAAAGCTGAATGTTGTCAAAAGCAAATTTTTGAAAAAAATTGGAAACATATGAAAGCATAAGATTACTTTGTATAATTATTATTTATTTTTATTAGTTTATTATTATTTTTTTCTTAAACTTATTTTTTACCCGCAACCAAAAGTTTTGCCACGTTTTAAAGGAACCCCAGTTTAGCATAGACGGTGATAAAAATCGGTTGCTTTTCTCATAAACTATTTCCCTGAAGATGACTGCCGAAGACAGTCGAAATATTTGAAAATAAAAATAAACAAAAAGGAAAAACCATAACCAACGAGTTTTTCAATTGACCTAGAGCCAAAAAAAAAAATCCACAAGAATTAACATATCACAGGTCAACAATAAAAGGTCGTTTACATTTAACCGGATTTGGTTAACCCAGTGGGTTTAAATTTTCAATTCCTTTGAATATATGCCAAATAAATCCTCATAAAGTAGGTTAACCCGGTAAAAAGTTCTAATGTAAATGCCGTATAACAACAACAAATCCACACATATAAAAAACAATCCAACTTCAAATTGACCTCAACCTTTTAATACAATTTTATATTTGGACATATTTGATCGCACGTACAATGTATATTTTTATTAAAATCATAATTCGAATGTTGTGTGGTAATGTGTCATATTCTTAGTTGTGTTCTTTTAACCACAATTGATAATAATATTATTCTGGGTTGATCAAATTTGATCCATGGCCTTTTTAATCAGAATGTCGAGAAAGCAAATTACTCACAACATATGGTCTGTTCCCGTACTGCAAGAATCTACTCGATTTTACTATTTTCTTCGATATCATAAAGGAAAAAAGTGTTATCGGAGTAAAAAATAGTAGATTCTTGCAGTACGGGAACAGACCAATAGTTTTGCTACAAACGGGCTGAAAATATGACATGACCGATACATACTGGATTCCATGGCATAACTACAGAAGGTAGTCTCATTTGAGAATCTGATGATGGCAACCCTTTTTATCTTGGAATTCATCTATCAATTTTAATTTATATGAAAAATAAATTCCATAAAATTTTAGGTATGTCGATTGGCATATTTTCAATAAATAAAGTAAAAAATATATTTTCTAAAGCTGAACCTTGCTCTCAACATTTTAAATATTAATAATAGAAGGTAAAAGCAAGTTTTGTTGTACAACAACCACATGGAAATTTGTTTTTGTAAGTTATACTAGTGCCAACGTCATTTGACAGAAAAATGTAAACAAACAAATTGCATTTATTTTGAAAATGTAACATTGTCGAATCCTCAAAATAAAATGGAAAAACATGAATGGAAATTTATCATATATATATATTTCTGTCGCTTCCGCATCTTTCCTATAATTGAGCCATTGCCTCTTATATGTGTGAAAATGTTGAAAATTTCGAGTTATTCAATGAAAAAAAGATTTTCTTCCTTTAACTTTCCCAGCAGACAGATATTTCCTGACATACTGCAAAAACTATTCCGGCCTTCTTCCATAAAGGCTATCGAAGTTGAGTAGTTCCTTTAGGTTAATTCCCAATTTTTTAGTTTTTATTTCAAATATTTATTTATTTTGAGAATTATTTATGGTTTTATACTAATTCTACCAATTTCAGGTACATTCGGACCTTTATATTCTATAATAAGGGTGTCTTTCTGAATATTCTGTGTATTGTACAAATTGTTGGCAATTTTAAAAGATTTTACAGATTTTTTCAAAAATTTGTATCTGTAAATGAATTTATCGGTGCTTAGTTTACATATTTTAACTAAATTAAAGAGCTTTTTTAAAAATATTTTCAAAAAATGCAATAAAGTAAAAAATCACACAATCTTTTAATTATGTGGCCACTTCAAAGTCGACGAATTTTCATAAAAACCGTTATTTATGGAAAAATTGCATGTAATAATTTTCTATTTTCACACTAAATCTCTTAAGTGCAGAATATCGAAGTGTTCTGAATTAAAAACAATTCAAAAATACTTCAAACGAATCGAGGGCTGATCAAAACAATTTGACCACTGTAAATGTTATAATTATATGACCACCACTGTATATAACGAGATATCAGATAATCATAATAAATTTAAAATAATAAAATTGTAATTTAAATGTTTAATATTTCATATTTTTCCATTTATTTCCAGCTAATGCCATTAAATGTTATCAATGTAAATCGATTACTGATGCCGGCTGTGCTAGTGACATGATTGATGCCAATTCTCGTATCCGAGTTGTAGACTGCGATAATGAAAGGAAACCAAATTCTATGGATCAATATATGCCAGTTACAAAGTGTAATCGTGTTGTCACAAGTGGTAAGTACAAATATTGATAAAAGAAACATGTAAATTATCCTTAAAATTATAATATTTTAGAATGTATTTTAATAAAAAAAATATTTTAAGTTATTTTAAAAATATATCAAATAGATTAATGTAGAATCCATAGACAATTTTGTCATAAATTTGACTAGCTTCTTTCCAGAAGTATTTAACCACACCTAGTTTTTAAAACCAAAACTTAAAGATTAGATTGATTCCAATAATATATGACAATATATTATAAGTCTCACGCCATTAAGCCTTAGCTGTCGTAAACTGCGTATGCGTATTTTAATTTATAAACAAAACTTTTTTGTAGAAATTGTTAATATTCAAATCAGCAAATGCCAATGGAAATTTTGTTGTATTCGATCGATATAGTGATGTCATTCCCATACAGACATTTTGTTAAATAAATTTGGCAATGATTGCCTCTACATATCTATGTATGGGGAAGACCTCCCACCACACCGTAAACAGTCATAGACAATAACATTAGCCATATGGACTTCACAAGTAAACAAAATTAATATATAAAAATAATATGTATATAAAAAATTTTTGTATAGATGCGTCTTGGCAAATTATTCTCAATTACCTTAGAATTTTATGACGTCATGTTCGAAACAATTTTTCAATTGTTAAAATAAAATTCAACACACAGCTCAATAAAGAGAACATTTCGTTCTTACAATCATGAGAATTTTAGTTGTAAAGCTTTTTATTTTTTGAAAACAAAAGCTTTCTTAATTACAAAACCAAACACAGGCTTTAACAATGTCAACACCTGTTGTTTTGAATCCATTTGTTAAATAGAGTTAAGTGGTTTAAGAACAGTGGTTTCAATATCTTTTATATCTTAGCTTGTATAATTTGTAGAGAAAGTTGTTTTATTTCAATAAAAATATTCGTAAAGGAATTTTCATTTAAATTACTAAAAAATATAATTCTTCCTCTCTCTCTCTCTCTTTACAGATAAAGCCGGCACCATTATATCCCGCGATTGTCACTTCCAAGTTATTGGTTCCGATCCCAATGTTTGTACTGTCTCTCATAGCCGTAAAGTTGACAGTTGTCACACCTGTACCGGAGATTTGTGCAATAGTAACTCGTCGGCTGGTCGTTTTATGGCTATTGGATTCACTGCCGTCATTGCTTTAGTCGCAATGGTGTTCGCTTTCTAATTTACTTAACCTCTTTATTTTTTGTATTGTATTATTTTTAATTTTGTTATTATTTTTAAATAAAGATTATTTGTTTTGTCCGGTCGTACCTTTAAAAAAAAAACCAAATAATTCTTCGAGTTAATAAGGCTCTTAGATATACGTGCATTACATGTATCCGTGCTTCTGGTGGTGATGGTGTGGCTGGTGTTGTTGATCATGGCGCTAGTGTTAGTTCGGTTGCTGGTGTGATGCCTGTTTCTAGTGCTTCTGTTGATAATGGTGCTGCACTTGTTAATGCGGATGCCTTACGTAGTTTGCAGAATGATATGTTATCTACCATGAAACTAAAGATGGATGCTTACATGGCACAGTGTATGCAGGAGTTTAAATCCCAAACAGATGCTCTTTTTGAATTGTACAGTGCTGAATTCTCTGAGGTGAAGAGCAATATCACTGAGCTGAAGCAGTCCGTTTGTGATCTTAAGTTAACTGTCAGTGAAATGAAAAACACTTCTATTAGTGTGGAAAAGAAGTTAATAGACAGAGTCCATGAATTGGAATTATATAATGCTATGCTCCAGCGCAGACTGAATCGATCGAATGTCATTATTAGAGGATTGCCGGACAATATAAAAGACCTTAGAGCGCTAACTGTAAATATTGCTAAGGTTTGTGGGATGCAACTGGTGCCTAGAGATTTGCAGCACTGTTGTTACATATCTGACCGTAGAGCGGTGTTGGTGAAATTTAACTCTGTGCAGGATAGAGATTCACTGATGCGTAATTACTCTAAAAAGGGTCGTATTCTTCTGAAGGAAGTAATTGAGAATTGCATTGTGGAGTCTCGAGTGTTTATAAATGATCACTTAATTAAGTCGACCTCCAAACTTATCTATGCCTGTAGAGATTTGCTTAAAAGGAAGCATATTAGGAAATTTAAGCTGCTTAACGGTGATCAGCCCTTGGTTGAAGTTCTTCTTCCTGATGGAACGAAAACTAGGTTCGAGCAGCAGGAACTTATTAATTTTGCCAATCGATCCCGAGATTCGCAGATGCGGAATGTATTGGATAATGATTGTGGGGCGGTGCAGTTTCCTGTTACATAGCCATGTGATGTATATTTATAATTGTTGATCTCATTTTTCTTAATTTTAATATTATTTTTCTTAAAACAATTATTTTATTTTTTTGAATTGGTATATTCTTTATTGTTTAATTTGTTATTCTTTTATTATTATTTTGATATGCATTCAATGTTTAATCGAACTTTAATAATTATGCTCCCCAGTCTCTTATTTAATTTTTATGTGCCCTGATGTGAATCTAGGGCCTGTAATTAGCGATGCTCAATTCTTTACGCAGAACATTCATTGTGGTGATGGTAAGCTTACGTATGCCCATTTGAACTGTCAAAGCATTCGTCCGTCTAGATTCAATAACAAATTGGATGAGATAAAGTGTCTACTTGTTGGCAGTGGAATTGATTTTTTTGGTGTGACTGAGTCTTGGCTTAACTCAGCTGTCTCATCGAGGTCATTGAGAGTTCCTGGCTATAAGGCTCTTCGTAGTGACCGCATTGGACGTGTAGGTGGCGGTGTTATGTTGTATGTATGTGACAGATTGTCATATAAGGTGGTTTTTAAATCGGATCATTATGGTGTATGCGAGTCTTTGTGCGTCGAGCTGTGTTTCGGTGCATATACGTTGCTTGTTGCCGTTGTATACCTGCCGCATGGAGATGTAGATTCCTTTCGTAGCATTCATGAGGGTATTTTTGATTCATATGCAAATGTGTTTGTCTGTGGTGATTTTAATTGTAACTTATTTAATTCTTCGAAATCTACGTTGATGCGGGGCATATGTAGGTCTCTTGGGCTTTCTATTGTCCACAATTCCAAGCCTACGCACTTTGATCTTGCTCATAGTTCTACCTCGCTGATTGACTATTGTTTGATCAGTGATCCCATGCGGCTGGGCTTTTCCTCGCAGGGGCAATGCCCTAGCATATCTCGCCATGCGCTTATCTTTGGGATGATTGATTTGCCTGTAGTTGCTGAAGAGAAGGTAATCGAGTATCTTGATTTTTGTAATGCGGATTGGATCGGTATTTGTGATTTTGTGTTTAATTTTGATTTTTCTCCTCTGTATCTCACCAGTAACGTAAACAGCCAACTGGCCTTGTTTGAGACGTTATTTCAGAGTTTGCTGTCTTTTGTTCCTCTTGCTACTCGTCATATTAGCCCCAAAAATGATGAGTGGTTGAATTCTGATGTTGTGAAGTCAGCTCGTTCGATTCGGGATTTAGCTTACTTTGAATGGCGCAGAAGGCCTACTGATGACAATAGACGTATATATTGTATCTGCAGAAATCGTTGCAAGGCTGTTATGCGTAATGAAAGAAGAAAATATTATGGAAAGTTGTTCGGTCGTATGAACAGTAGTCAATTATGGAAGTCTCTTAGATCCTTTGGTTGTCTGGATTGTGGTGATGATGTTCCTTTTATTGATGTTAATACTGTTAATGATTACTTTTGTAATGTTGGCAAATCTAATCCTGGTGTGAGTGTAGGAATTGATGGTGCCTTGGTTCGAGAGTCATTTAGGTTTTACTGCGTGTTTATGGAGGATGTTGAAAGTGCTCTCCGCAAAATTAAGTCTGGAGCTGTAGGTTTTGATGGCATTCCTATTAAATTTTTTAAGAGTGTTTTTCCATACATATCTGTTCACTTTTTGCATTTTGTTAATTGTATTTTTATGACGTCATCCTTCCCGCAAGCTTGGAAGGTGGCTCGTGTGGTGCCTGTTCCGAAGAAAGGGTCTTCATACAGTCAGTCTAACTTGCGTCCAATAAGTGTATTGCCGGCCATGTCTAAGATAGTTGAGCATATTATTAAAGATGCTATTTTGGAGTTTCTTGGTGATCACAAATGCCTGAGTAGTTCTCAGTATGGTTTTCAGCGTGGCTGCAGTACTACGGTACACTTATTATCCCTTACTGATGTTATTCGTGATGTTTTTGATGGTTCTGATGTTGGTCTTCTTGTTGGTCTTGATTTGTCTAAGGCCTTTGATTCAATTGACCACGCGCTGCTTATTCGCAAGCTTAGAGTCAAATTTGGATTTTCCGTTTCGGCCTGTAGACTAATTTCGTCGTATCTGGAGTGTAGATCCCAGTTTGTTGTGCACAAGGGTGTCCAATCTGATGTTGGTCTAATCCGGTGTGGAGTCCCGCAGGGTTCTGTACTGGGCCCATTACTTTTTATTATGTTCATTAATGACATCATGGATTCTGTTACTGCTAGTGATTGTAGTCTCTTCTTGTATGCGGATGACATACATGTATTCTTTAGGAGTGCTGATCTCGCCAGGTTGGAGAATCTTGCTAACACAACGTTGCAATCTCTCTCTATGTGGATCTCTTCCAATGGTCTTGATATAAACTGGGATAAGACTGAAGCTGTTTTGTTCAATTGTTGTTATGACGGTTCTATGCCTAATATTTGCGTTAGTTCCTTTACTATTAATATTGTTGGTGAAATGAAGTGCCTGGGTGTAATTATTGATGCCAAACTTAGTTTTTCGACCCACATTGATCTTCTGTTGTCCCGTGTGCGATTCCAGCTTAGGAGGCTTTATAGTGTCCAAGCATATTTGCCTCTTGGTGTTAGGGTGAAGGTAGCTATGTCGTTGTTGATGTCTCAGGTTAACTATTGTTTGGAGGTTATTTCGGGCTCTAATTCTGGTCATTTGCATCGGCTCCAAAAGGTTGTTAACTCCATTGTTCGTTATGTATATGGTTTGGGTCGTAGTCATCATGTTTCCCAATTTGTTGTTAAATTTCTTGGCCTATCCTTTTATACTTATGTTGAATATCGTATCCTTTTGTGTTATTATAGAATTATGAGAAATGTTGATTTACCACTGTGTAGTAGGTTTGTGATGTGTAGATCCTCTCGGAACCCTCAGTTGTTGTATCCGAGGTTTTCGTCTGCAATTTGTGAAAGATCATTTGTAGTTAGAGTCGTAAGATCGTGGAATCAGCTCCCTTTGAGCCTTCGTAAGTTTACCTCTTCCACTTTTGCGTATAGGAGGGAATTGTTTGGGCATTTGTCTCGTATTTGATGAAGCTGGCTTTGAAGAAATCGCTGATTACAGGTTGCATAATGGTACTTTGTCTTTTTTTTAATTTTTGGCTGGGGAGCCATTTTTATTTAAGTTCGTTAGCATTTATGTTATAGATTTATACATATGGAATTTAATGTCTGTGGTTCTGATATTGCTCTTGGGCTCGAGAGGAATATATAGTATATTTATATGTATGGTTCCTTAAGCTTCCTTTCCCCTCCACTTTTCTTAGCAACAGTTAAGTAGAGTGCAGTGGATTGGGGTTCTTGTTTGGAATCTGTTATGTTAGCGGTTTGCATTAAATTTCATTATGTAGAATTTTGTTTTTTGCTGTTATGTATTTTTAATTTATTTAGTTTATTCTTTGTTTGGGTTTTTATTTTTTTTTATATATAAGTTAATATAAGTTATTGGCCATGCTGGCTTTTTTATATTACATTGTATGAAATAAATGAAATGAAATGAATTACATAACCTCAAAATATTTAGAATTCCTTTTATTGATTCTGGCAACAATTCGGTCAAGATCACAAATTACGTTATGTGTTGCATCATCTAGCATAGCTGCCACATTGTTTGAAGGGGTCGGACTGCCCATTCCGCTTTGAAGATGCACAATGTCCAAGAAGTAGACGACAGCAAAATTATTGCGGGAATGCTAGGGCCATGATTCGAGACTATTTGGTGGGGCTATGAAATTGCTCTTCGTAGATTTTCGTCAAACGCTTCCTGTCATTTCTAAATCTACTGTTGCCGATGAACTAAATGCATGCCTGAAATCGCGTTTTCGTGGCGGCAAGTTAAGAAGCTGAAACTGACAACGAACATGAGAGTTGCGTTGCAGAACGACCCGTTGGCTGCTGAATTCTCGAGACAACTGCTAGCGATTGGGGC